TGGGGGCGTGGCAATGGCGGCACTGGGGGCGTGGCCTGGCAGCACTGGGGGCGTGGTAATGGCGGCACTGGGGGTGTGGTAATGGCGGCACTGGGGGCGTGGCCTGGTGGCACTGGGGGCGTGGCCTGGCAGCACTGGGGGCGTGGCCTGGTGGCACTGGGGGCGTGGCCTGACTGCACTGGGGGTGTAGTAATGGCGGCACTGGGGGCGTGGCCTGGCAGCACTGGGGGCGTGGCCTGGCTGCACTGGGGGTGTAGTAATGGCGGCACTGGGGGCGTGGCCTGTCAGGGCGGGAGCGCGGGGCTCCCCGCCCCCTCGGGATGGCGGTGCCTGAGGCGCCGGCCGGAGGTTGCCGTAACAGGCCCAGGCATCGCCCTGACCTGCCGCCTTCTCTCCTCTGTGTTTGTTTAAAATAAATCCCCTGCAGCCACGCTTAAGAATCTGTCGGGTCTGCGAGCCCCGGCTGGCACAGGTTCAGCGCAGACGATCGTCGCACCTCCCTTGCGAGCAGGGAGCTGAGCCTGAGGGTTTGCTGAGGGAGGTGTTGCTGGCTGTAGCGTAGCAAAAATAAAAGTGTTTTATGCAGACGTCTTTCGTCACGGCCTGTAAGCCCCGAGCTTCCTGTGAGCTGCTGTTTTCTGTGTTACACACAGTTACCTTGAGCACTTTGGGAAACTTAATTATAAGGGACAGAGGTACTGGACAAGGGGAATGGCTTCCCACTGACAGAGCACAGGGTTAGGTGGGATATTGGGAAGAAATTATTCCCTGTGACCCCCTGGTGCAGGCTGCCCAGAGGAGCTGTGGCTGTCTAATATCTGTAAGTGTCCAAGGCCAGGTTGGATGGGGCTTGGAGCACCCTGGGATAGTGGAAGGTGTCCCTGCCCATGGCAGGGGGTGGAATGAGATGAGCTTTAAGGTCTTAAAACCCCATTTTCTCCACAAAACCCTCAAGTGCTTTCCAAGGGCACTGTCTGGGTACCCTACAGAGCCTGCAGTAGTGTACTACACATGATAACACAAATGGATGAAATGGGCAGGATAATTTGGAAGTGCTTATAAGTATTTGGAGGAGCAGCAAGTGCTGTCACTGATAAGAGCTAAGTGACTCCTTTTGTACTATCAGAGAGGGACGTAAGGAGTTTTAATTCCCATGTCATGACAAGCCCAGTACCTCTTAAAAACAAGGCTAAGAAGGGAGCATGCAAGAGGCAGCTGTAATTGTGCTGCACAGGCAGCTGGATCCTCAGGCACTCCCAGTTTAGGTCAAACACAGTGTTTGAAAGGCAAAAGCACGTCTGAGGCGATGCAGAAAGCAGCTGCTGTGGGTTAGGCACGGCGTGGCTCCGTGCAGGATGCGGTGCTGGAACTGGCAGTCCCACAGCCTTCCAGATTTTATGAGCAGCAGGGCTTCTATGTTTGTGCTCCTGGAAACAAGGAGGAAAAAAGCAAAGGAACCCTGCCTTTTATGACCCTGGGGAGCAGGACAATCACCAGGGCCGGTGAATTCAGGCCAGCAACCTGCACCTCGTTATTCTTGTGCACCCTCTGGAGGAATTCCCAGGGGAATTCTTGAGGGGTCGCAGCGGGGGTTACCTTCAGTTCCGGGGTGTCACAGCTCTGCCCATCCCCACAGTGGGCACAGGCAGCTCTCCCACACATGTAGGGCAGCCTGGACGCTCTGGGCAGCGGGGGCGGCTTCATCCTGCCCCTCACTGCCCTCGTCCATCCTCAGAGGCGTGTGGCTGCTGGTCTTGCACCCCGGGGAACTCCAAGATGCCCTTCCTAACTCAGGCTCTGCTCTTTGTCCTTCCAGGCTGGGCCGGGGTGCAATGGCAGCCTCCTCCTCATCCTCCTCGGCCGGCGGAGTCAGTGGCAGCTCCGTGACAGGGTCGGGGTTCAGCGTTTCGGACCTGGCGCCGCCCCGGAAAGCCCTCTTCACTTATCCCAAGGGAGCCGGGGAGATGCTGGAAGGTGATTGCTGCTGCTCTTCTCCTTCCCCACTCCTCCTCCAGTTGCTGAACTTCTCACCCCACTGGTAAAAGCTGGAGGTAGAAAGGAAGCACCGTAGTTTGGTTGATCCCGGCTATCCCACCAGTTGTTCAGGAGGAAGTGATTTTTCTGGCAGTCACCTGCTTTTTATCTCCACGACAACACTTCAGAACAGGAAGAATCTACCTGAAAGGGAACATGACTGTGTTAATTGCTCATTGTTAGCTAATCCTTTGATGTCAGGCAGGGATTGCTGAGAGGATAGCTGAGACAGGCATATTTTTCTTGGCAGAAATAGTAATTTTCTTGGTTTGGGTTGGATTTGACTGGGTTAGTCCAGGAGGCAGCTTGTCTCCCTGCCAGCTTGTATCTGGGTGCCTGAGCCCTGCCACCAGCTTCATCAGGATTGTGGAAGGAGAAGCCCAGCAAGCTCTGGGTGAGGGAGGAGGGGCAGGTCCTCTGGGTGACAGGGTTAAACCAGCATCTCTCTGTCTGCTGCCCTTGAACCTCCCTTGTCACTGTGGGATGGCAGGGACTGAGGCTGGAGTGTCCCTGTGGCAGCACAGGACAGCTGGGAACTGATGGCTGTGCCATTGAAGGGTTGTTTTTATTATACATTAGAGTCCATATGCCAGGCTATTGAAGTAATTATGACTAAAGGTTTGCTCACAGAACTTAACGAGCCGTCAAAACAAATTAAAGTAATGAAGCACTTCGTGTTACCAAATAGGCAGCTGTTCCTCCTGAGAGCCACTCGGCAGGACAGACAGGGAGTCGGAGGACAGAATCCAACATTTAGGTTGGAAAAGGCCTTCAAGACCATCGAGTCCAGCCTGTGACCGATCCCCAACTTGTCAACAGCACCCGAGCACTGAGTGCCACGTCCAGTTGTTCCTTGCACACCACCAGGGACAGTGACTCCACTGCCTACCTGGACAGCCCCTTCCAATGGTTTTCCATGAAAAAAATTCTTGCTGATGTCTCCACGATGTATTTGGGGCAGCACTTCTAAGAGGAAGCTCTGAGCATGGTGAAACTATAGTTCTTCCCTGGGGTTCAGCTTTGGATTAGATTTTTTCAGAGTTTTGTCTTTGAAACTGCTCTCCACATTGTTATGGCACAAAGCTTTAAATGGATTGTGCTTTGGGCTGACCTCTTTACCAGGAACACAGCAGTTCGCCTGCTCTGGGTGGCAGCAGCAACCAAACACTGTCCCTATTGCAGGAAGCTCTAGGTTGGCTTTTGAATTTCTGACACCAAAGGGGATGCACTCATTCTTTCATCAGGCAGCTGCCTGTGGAGAAGTTGCAGTTTCCTCTTCAAAAATTCCCACTGACTGATTGATTTTTATTGCTACTTTAGTTATCTTGCTTGTTTCTAAATAAACCCATAGGTATTTTGGGGTTTTTTAGAAGGAGGCAGTATAAACTATGTCAGTCCTTGGTACACAATTAGCTATGTTTTCCAGATTGCTTTATTTCTGAGTCACTTGCATGATCAATTACCGACTTGGATGGCAAAGATAAACATTATTTGAAACTCTATGCAGGGTTATGGTCTGAGCCCGTGGGAAATCCTAAAGCATTCTAAGGACACGAGTGTCTGAGCCCTGAGGGAATCAGAGACAGCCATAACATTACCTGGCTTCTCCTTTAACTTCTATTTAAAATGGACTAAAATTGCTCGTCAGAGGGGATGTAACAGAATTCCACCTGGCATGTCTTCCCAGGCAGGAACCAGCCAAAGTCCTGTCCAGGGTCACAGGGGCTGCAGTCAGCACAGGGGAACCTCTTGGAATGAGGCAAGGGGAAGCCCACACCTCAAACATAAAAATAGGAGGTCAGGGGCACTGAAGGCTGCTCAGCCTCAAACTCTGGGGTTCAACCATCTCCCTTTTTATGTTTACAGATGGCTCTGAGAGGTTCCTCTGCGAGTCTGTGTTCAGCTTTCAGGTTGCGTCAACATTAAAGCAAGTGAAGCACGGTAAGCGCCGGTCGCGTGTGGCTCGGGGAAGGCGGCGGGGGCAAAGCCTGACTTGCTCTGGGGTGGCAGCCACAAGAAAGCAGAGTGAACGCTAAGTCAGGCCACCACTGAGTCCTTTTGCAAGCTCTATGCAAAGTGCCAGGAGCCCACAGGCGGGGTGGGAACAGGCTGTGCCTCCCGAAGCTTGTTTTTCCTTGGCTGTGTGGCAGGACGAGGTGAGGCCGGAGGAGGAGGTTCTGGGCAGGAAACGCCCACGCTCTGATCTCGGCCCAGTGCTGTCTCTCTGGCCTGGGGCAGAGGGACGCTCCATTCCACCTTTGTTTCTCTGCTGAGCCTTTGTGGCCCTGGCAGGGTCAAGTCAGGTTTCCAGAGTCACTCTGGAGGTGGCCACGCGTGGTGTGGCGTGACAGGGCTGAGCACACTCCCTGCCTCCCCAGGGAACAGCCTGACATCCTGTTTGAACCTCTGCTTCCCTGCCAGGCCCTTTGCCCTCACCCAGGTGCCCGTGACCCAGCGATGGGCTCGGCTGCGTCACAGCCTTGGTTCTCACAGAGCCCAGCAGCAGATCCTGTCTGCTGCTTGAGGGTCACATCCTTTCTGGTCCCCGCCTCTTGTCTGCCAGAATGGTACTTCCACCTGTTGTCTCTGAGTGGAGAGGTTTCCTGTCCTGCTCTGGCTGTGGGGGTGTGCAGCAGCTTGCAAGGCTGTGATCCTGTATTTCTGCACCAGAAAGCAAAGCTGAACTCCAGAGCCATTGTTTCCAGAGCTCTGCTGTGGCTGCTGCTACACAGCCTGGCACCCCAATAGACAGCAGCCTTTGGAATTGTGGAGCACCTCCCTGTTTTCTCCCTGTAAGAAAGGTGGAGGGTTTAAAAAAAAAAAGATAGAGGTCATCATTTTTTGGCTTGTTTGTTTGACAGTTCCCAAAAGAGTGCAGGAGGTGGAGTGAGAACAGTCCCTCTTAAAGCACCCACTGCTGCAGTCAGCATAAATCACACAGTTTATGCTACGCCTCTTGCTAGCCCTGGGCCGTCTCTCCAAGAGGCTGCAGTGAGCTTACAGCACTGTTAGACTTCCAGCAGAGCTGGGAGGAGGGATGTTCCCATCTCTGCACCACTGCAGCACATTTAACTGAAAATGGACCCTGTGTGCCCAACACGCGACTGGTTATAAATAAACCTGAGAGGAAGATGTTGTCTGGGGACCTTCCTCTCATTAGCAGGCTCTAGTTGCAGAGCCTCTCTGCCACACTCATCCAGGTCCTCCTCCAAGGACCTTCATCAAAAGCACAGTTCCTGCTGCTGCACTCAGCTCCACCATGGGCTGACCAAGCCCTCTCTGAACTTCTCTGTTCTTCTGCACTATAAATATTTATGCTTTATGAAATGAGCTTCGTCCTGTTTTCACCCCCATACACTAATGGGCCTGATGTTTCCCTGTTAGGACTTGAATGTACGTGGCACGGGCAGGGATGGGTAAACACATGCTGGGGCAGAAAAGCCTGTCCCTGCTTTCTCCTTGCTGTTTGCACAGAGTGGGTTTGAATTCAAATGGGGCTCCATGGGTTTTATTCTGCCCTGCTCCCCACTGACAGCTGGAAATTTGCATCTAATTGAAGGGTTTAATTGCACTGCCATTGCAAACCACAGTTACCTTTGAACTCCTCGCAGATCAACAAGTCGCAAGGATGGAAAAACTTGCCGGTCTGGTGGAAGAGCTGGAGGCAGATGAGTGGAGGTACAAGCCAATAGAGCAGCTCTTGGGATTCACTCCCTCCTCAGGCTGAGCATGTCTGGATTACTGCTGTCAGGGAGCAGAAGAAAAATGTTCTCTGGCCTGGCTTCAAAACACCCCCCATTCATCAGATGCTGACAGCTGCATCAGCAGAACGGGGCTTTGGGTTTTTTTGAGAGTGGGGATCCCCCGTAAAGCTGCCAATAAATGGAAATGACAAGATTCTGTAGATCCTTACAGGCTGGCAGGGCTTGGTTTCTGTAACTTAGAAGGCAGGATCATCTGTACAGCCCCCAGAGAATCTCCATGGTGTTTACAGAGGAGGGCACACGGACAGTGTGGCTGCGGGAGGGCGACCCCGTAACTCAGGTTCCCGCTGGAGCACAGCCGGAGCGCTGGGTGAGCGGGGAAACCCTCTGGAACAAATGCTAGAAGCACTCGTCAGCCCCTGCCATTGTTCTGGGGGATGGACACAAACTGTCCCAGTGTGGGGTGAGGGGCCAAGTGGTGTCACCTGCTCCAGCAGTGCCTCAGCCATTGCCCAAGCCGTTCCCTCTTCATCACCGTTCCTCTGGCAGTGCTGCCAGGACACTGCTCTGTCTCTGAATACCCTGAAACTTTGTCCTCTTTGTTCAGTATTAGATTTCTCTGTGACAATAAAATAACTGTGTCTTTGAAACTCTTTATCTGGTCTGATGAGGGAAAGAATCAGCTGTTTGGGAGTTAAGGAGGTTTAGTGAAGCTCAGAGGCGGATCGACTGTCATGATGGTAGACCAAAGTTCAATGTGAGAGGAACCAAACCATGCTTAAAAGTGACTTGATTTAAGTGAGATTTGAATCCTGCTTTAACTCAGCCAGAGGAGAAGACCCTGGTTTAAACCCATCCATTTTAATAATCTTGATTTTCAGTTGTACTTCACTTCTGTTCTTGGAGGGAACTGGATTTCCACGTTCTGGTGTAACCATTTCCACATGTTGATTTTCCATGGATGAGAGCCTTCGCCCCATGGCTCTGCCGGCCAGCAGGGGGTAGGAGCAGCACCGCATGCAAGCAATTATTTGATTTATTGCTCCAGATGCCTAATTTTTCCATTTTCAACATCTTACTTACGAGATGATTGTATTTTTCACTCACTATTTCAGCCTAGTCACATCTGCATTGAAACAGATTAACTGGGATCCATTCCCATTTTAGATGACCAGCAATTAGCTAAAACTGAAGGGGAAAAGTATACAGCCACCTTCTGTGCTTGTTGCTGTTAATAAATCAGTCCCAGTGCCAGAGTCAGCTCTGGGCAATCCAGAGCCGCACGCTGCCCGGTCCGCAGGTGAAGCTGCGATTCTAGCTCTGGAAATTCACGGAGGGGTGTTCCCACGAAGGGCTGCAGCTCAGCTGAGCCTGTCCCACGCCGGCTGCCCCGGCCCCGGCCCCAGCCCAGAAAACCTCCTCCCCAGCCTTGGAGGGCTGCCAGGCCCCGCTCTGTGGGGGCCTCCTGCACCGTCAGTGGCTCCGCTGCCAGGAGCGCTCCAAACGTGACGGCAGGCGGGATTCAAACTCCATCCCAGATGGGCTTGCTCGAGAAAGAAGGGAGTGCTTCGGACCTCCATTTTTTTGTTTGCTTGGTGGCATCTATTTGTAATCCTGCTTACTCCAGCCACCTAAATCTACCTTAGCCAAACCTGATAAAAATCCTCACTCCATATCATTGTGGGGTTTGAAAACAGGAGTAGTAGATTCCTCAAACTCAGTCGCTCACACCCGCTCCCCTCTGCTCACTGACCCAGCACAATCAGGCACAGAAAGAGCTTTTCCTTTTCACTGCTCAACTTGGGAAACTTTTCTACCCTGCCAGCCCTCCTGGGATGCCAGGGACTCAGCGCCTGCAGCTCTGCCCAGGGGCTGCAGTCCCAGAACTTTCCCATCCAGATCCAGAACACAGCGGGACTCGGATTTATCCCCCTTGCCCTCCTCCCGTTCCTTGTTTTGCAGCAGTTTCTTGTGCTGGGACAGACCAGGAGCAGGGAACGTCCCTAGCTCCGTGCTGTACATGGTGTGTTTGTATGTGTGCCCAGCACCAAAATAGACACATGTGTGAGAGCCATTGAGAGGAAGTGAAAAGTTCACCCTGTACAGTACTACGAATGCAAAAACATGTTGTTGGCCGTTCCCTCCTCCTGCTCAGTAAACACTTTTATGTAAGGCAGGGAGAACTGGAGGGGTCTGTGTGGGCAAAAGCTTTCCACACTCCCCCTCCTCCAAACCCAGGTTTTCCCTGGCAGCTGGAAATTCCCAAACCAACCTATTTCCTGCTTTGCAGATCAGTGGGGCTGCGCCAGCAGTGGATATTTCTCCTTGGGGTGTGGAAGCCCCACATCCCCCTTGCCCCGGGAGCCCGGGGGGCCGTTCTGCTGGGCGCGGAGCGCAGGGGGGAGGGAGCCCAGCAGCTGCCAGAAAAAGTTGATGCGGGGAGGGGAGGGAAAATAAAAAAAGAGCCGAACAAAGAGCCTTGTTCAGAGCTGCTGTTGGTTTTCCTGTGGGTGCTCGCAGCAGAACATTATGTACCGGCACAAGCCCCGCTCACACCTCCCCTCCTCAGCTCCTCTCGCCGCTGGCCATGGCCCCACCACCGGCCACAGCGCCAAGGCACGCGCTCGCCTTGCTGCCTGGGCAGGCCGCCCGCCAGGAGGGCCTCTCCCAACATCGAGGATGCCGCAGTGTGGGGCAGCACCCCCAGAAACTCCCTCTGCCATCTGCGCCCCCAGAAGCACCCAAGGCGAGATGAGTTTCACAGCCCACACCCTGCGAGCGACACGGTGCCGGCCCAGCACTCAACCCAGCGCTCACATCTCAGCTGCCAAAACCTGCCCACCTCCCTCCTGGATGCATGTTCCTTGTTCCTCCGCCCGGCTCCTGCAGCTGCTTGTCCCAGGGGCGAGAGATGGCCCCAAAGGTTTGGCTGTGGCACAGACCTGCCTGGCCAGCAGCACGCCGGGACCTGCCACCGCGTCCCACGCAGCCAGAGCTCGCCTATCGGAGCTGGCCACGGGCTTGGAAGATGCAGGATCACCCCTCCTGTGCCTGTCACCCCAGCCACAGCCAGGGACCCGGTGTGAAGGACACACACCCCACCAGGCACTTAGGGGGCACAGTAAAAACCATGGCCTCAGGCCCTCTGTTACTTGGACACAGAGGATCCCACCGGTGTCTGTGCCAACCCAATGTGCCAAAACAGTGTGTCAATTTACCTAAGAGCAACTGTTTGGGCTACGGAGCTGCTAGGAAAAAACATGAAGCCAGGGACTCCTCCATAACAATAGCCCATGGGGCAGGAATTTGCTCCTCACCATACAGGGGCACAGTTTGCACCAGACGTGCGCCAGAGCACACACTGAGCCTTCAGTACGTCTCCTCCCTTCCTCCTCCTCCTCTTCCTCCTCCTCCTTCTTCCCAGCCCCCTCCCCCTGCAGCCTGCAAAAGCGCTGAGCTCAGCACATCTCGGGCAGGGGCCCAGCCAAGGACCCTCCCCAATGCCAGCCGCTCCCCCGGCTCCTGCTTAACCCTTTGCAAAGCCGGGCTGGAAATCAGACCAATCGACTCAATCTCATCCCAGACAGGCACAGCTGGCTGGGAACAGACTGTCCAGAAAGCCTCAATCTCTGCTCTCCCAGAAAGGACAGCAGGTCAGGGGGAAAGACACGCTGCTCCTCCACAGCAACCACGCTGGGTTTACTGCCAGCAGCAGGACCAGGGCAGGGGAAGTGCAGGGATTGCCAGCACTGTAGCTAAAACTTTGCTTTCCAGCCCAAAATCATTCCTAGAGGCCCTGCTACAGAGGAGTGGCCTGGATCTCAGCTTCTTTTGGGAAGCAGAAGGAGCTGCCAGCCCCACATTGCCTCCCCTCCCAGCTGGATTATTTTATTGCAGGGATCAAAAATTACATTTCCCTTTAAAACTTGCTATTGCACCAGAGCTGCTTGCTTTGCTGCCTACCAGGAGATGTTATGGCAAAGAAAGAAAAATATTTATGCTTGCCTCTAGAATTCCAGCTTATTTTTAGCAAGGTGCCTTCCCTGTGGTCCTTTACCTCTTTTTTGTTTATTTGCTGCTTTCCCCCTGTTTTGACCCCCCAAACCAGCAGATTCGCATCTATTTTCAGCCTCACCCAGCTGACGTTCGTACCAATGACTTGGTGGCTGTGGGAAGAAATAACCCATGAGATACATTTTGTGAAAAACAGGATCCCAAGCACCATCCCGCTGAGTGTGCAAATATTGGGGTGTATTTTTAACAGCTGGGGGTTGGGGGATTGTTCATTTTTTGTCCCAAAAACCGAGGGAGTACCTCTGCAAGTTGTAGGCGCAAGCCAGGACTTGTTCCCAGCTCCCCACACCTCTCCTCTGCTCCCTGGGATGCTACCCACTCCCCCAGCCTGGACTTCCATGCCCAAAATACAGATGGATTGAAGCTGTGACCCCTAAAAAGCAGCTGCTGCTGGGGTGCCCGGACCCCTTTCTGCACCCTTCGGGGGGCAGGTCGCAGGCCGTGAGTGGGGGACCCGTGCTCCGCACCGTGTTTACCGCCGGCTCTTATCCCTCTGCGCTCGGGAAGGACAGGAGCCGAGATAGGTCCTGGGGCGGCTCCAGAGCGTGCTCAGCCCGTCCGATAAAGCCGCGGGCAGCGCAGCGGGAGGACAAACAGCCCTTTATCTCCGACTGGGCTCCGTGCATGCTGGGGTCTGGCTTTGCGAGGGGCACGGACGCGGGGAGCGGCACGCAGGGCCCGCGTCCCCATTTAGGAGACACCGGGGAAGGCAGGTGGGGCTACGGCAGCCTGGCACTGAGCACAGCCCATCCCGGCCTGGCCGTGCCCTGCCCCCGCTCCCCTTCATCTCCAACAGGTTTCACTCCACCATCCCTTCCTGCCTGAGGAAAGCGGGACAAGGCCGGCGAACGCTTGGAGCGGGGCAGCAGGGCTCAGCGCCATCCCGTGCCGGGGCGCCAGGATCCGGCCGCGCCAGTGCCCCTGGAATTCGAGGGGATCAAACCCCAATAACCCATAGGGGAACCCGCACGGCTTCCCGGCCCAGGGACGGTTCGGGGACCGCAGGGGCACGGCGTGTGTCCCCTTTCCCGTCGGAGCGTGACGGCTGTGCCCGAGCGCAGGGCTGCGGGGATGCTGTGGAGCGCGGGGCCGGGGCGGCGCCGGCAGCCCGGGCCGGCCCTGACGCAACCGCGGGTCCCGCTTGCAGCGCCCGGCGCCGCGCCGGCCGCCAGGGGGCGTGGCCGGAGGGGGCGTGGCCTCCCGCTGTCACCGGGCAGGAGAGACGCCGCGGACGTGCCCCGCGCTCCCATTGGCGGACGCGGAGGGGGCGTGGCCAGCCGCGCCGCGGGTATATAAGGGCGGGGCGCGGGGGTGCGGCAGAGTCGCGACCGTGCGTGTTCCGGAGCCATGCCCGGGCTGTGGGAGCGGCTGGCGGGCGGCGAGCGCGGCCGCCTGGAGACCTCCGACTGCGAGTCTCTGGGCAGCGCCTCCGGCTCGGAGGGAGGTGAGTGCGGGTCCCTCGAGGCTGGAGGATTGATGGGGGCGCCTGGGCGGAGGGGTGGTGGTGCTGTGCCAGGCACCCGCAGACCCCCGGGTCGGAGCGTCCCAGAACCACCAGCACACCCCTGTTACCCCCCGAGCCCCTGGGATCGGCGTCTCCCACGCCCACGGCGCCCCCGTACTGACCTGCCTTTGTCCTCTCTGCAGATGCCGAGTACGCCGAGGGCATCTCCCTGCCGGACATGGACCTGGAGCTGCTGCACGACCCCGAGGACGAGCTGCTGTGCGCCAGCCTGATGGACGTGGTGCAAGCCACGCTGGGGCGGGCGGCGCTGGGCGCCGGGCGCTGCTCGCGGCTGCTGATGCCGGCGCAGCTGCGGGCGCAGGTGCGGGCGGAGCTGCTGCGCCTGGCGTGCAGCGAGCCCTGCGGGCTGCGCGGGGCCCTCCTGGACCTGTGCGTGGAGCACGGCAAGGCGTGCCACGGCGTGGGGCACATCGCGGCCGACCCCGCTGTGGTGCCCACCTTCCAGCTCGTCCTGGTGCTCCGGCTGGACTCCCGCCTCTGGCCCAAGATCCAGGGACTCTTCTCCTCGGGGCCGGCCTTCGCGCCGCTGAAGCTGAGCACGGGCTTCAGGGTGATGAAGAAGAAGCTGTACAGCTCCGAGCAGCTGCTCATCGAGGAGTGCTGATGGAGGAGCCGCTTCCCAAGTGCTTCGGAAGAGCCGGGCAGAGCGTGGCGGCTCCTGATGCCGCTGTAGTTTAGGTTAGGCTGGAGTAGGGCTGTAGGTGGAAGTAGCTGGGCCAGGCCGAGTCCCCGCGGGTCCTGCCCGTGCCGGGACACCCGTGGCGCGGGGCAGCCGGAGGTCGCTTCACGCCGTCGGCGATCGTGGGTTGATCCCCGCGACCGCGTCCCCGGAGGCGTCAGCGGGGCTGCCGGAGGGGCGCTGGTCTCCTGACGGCTGATCAATCGTGGGGGGCTTTTGTAAACCAGGATTGTAATCAATGGGGTCTCGGGGAGGGGCAGCGTGGCAGCGAGTGGCGGCCGAGGGGTCTGATCAAAGGCAAGGCCCAGCTGGAATTGTGTCTTTGATCGCCAGGGCCGTGGGAGAGGGGCCGGAGGGCAGGACCCCCGGCCCCGACACGCTGGGGGCACTTCGTTGGTTACAGTTTACACTCATACACTTGATGTTCAAGTGCGAAAATTCCTATGCAATCGTGTCGGGTGGTTTTTTACTTTTCTAATAAAACTTGTTGTGATTGATAAGCTGCCGCCTCCCTGTTGTCACCTCTGCTGGGGGTGGGATGATGCAACCACTGGTTCGAAATTCCCTGCTGGCACTCTTTCCCTGGCGGGGCAGCCCCTTCGGTGGGAGTTGGATGTTTTGGGAATGGTGGGGAATCCCACTGCACCCACTCCTAATGGGAGCCACGGGGCTGTGACTCAGGGGGGCTGAGTCAGGCCCCCGAGCCTGCTCATGGCCAGCGAGGAGCACCCCGAACACCCAGCGAGGGATTGCTGCTCCTCCCCGGCAGCCACGGCGGGGCACTGGGGCAGAAAGCCAGGAGAACGGGCTCCCACCGGGACTGAGGAGGAGGAGGAGGAGGGTCACACCTGCCGGGGGGAGCCCAGCCCCAAGCGCACTCTGCAACACTGAGGCCAATTACCCAAACCTGCAATTAGAGGCCTCGGGGAAGAGGCTTTCACTCAAGGATAATTAAGCTGCTTGGCAAATGAGGAGCCCGTGGAAGGTGTAGGGGGGATAAAACTGGCCTGAAAAGCCATTTCCATTCACATGTGAGCTCATTCTGGCTCAGCCTTGGGTTGCTTGATTTTTGTTTTTTATTTTTTGTAATAGCACTGTGGACAGACAAACAGTGACTTTTTGATGAGAATTTTCACCATAAAAACCTTGGTTTCGACATGAATGACCCATAACTGGAGTGCTGAGAGCAGAGAATGCTCACTGGTGTAAATATAATTTTGGAGCAGTCAGGACAACAAGCAATGCCAGGCTCACACAGCTGGAAATGCACCTTTAGGATTTCCCCTAAATTTTTGGAGTTTGGAGCATTTCTCAAAGGATCACATGCTAGAGCATCCCCCCCTCACGTGAGGGGCATCCCCTGTGGGGTCATCCAGCACAAACCCAGCCCTGGAGACACTGAGAGGGGTGGAAGGGAACTGCAAAGCCCAAGTTCCTTGGCCAGCCCAGGATGGAAGCAGCGTGTTGATCCCAGGCACAGCAGATTTACAGTGACAGCAACACCGTCAGCCCTGCCGAGGCATCCCGCCCCTGGGAGTGGTATTTACAGCCCCAGAAATACGTGGAATTTTAAATACCCAGCTCCCAAAGGGGTGGCCCCGCGCCTGTGCTGCCAGCAGCAGCGTGACCCCTGCTCATCCCCCCCACCAGTCACTCTCAGGGAAGGCAATGGGCTCCACATCTGTTTTTTTTAATTATCAGACCAAGAAAACAAAAAGAAAATCCCATCAAAACTCCCAAAAGCCAACACGGAGCGACAGCACAGCCTCTGTCCTGGGGGTGCCCAGCAAAACCTTCCGCGTGGGACCACGTGGCCTTGGAACGCCCCAGTCACAGCCCCAGCTATGAGGGAGAAACTTGGCTTTTATTTATAGCAAAATGGCTTTTCTGTGAGAAATTTGGGGGTGTCTCAAGGTTCCTGGTGTTTGGCAGCTCCCTGGAAGGTGCAGAAGCTTCTAGCAAGGCTAGATGAAATGTCTCCCAGGGCAGGGGGTTATGCAAAGGGATATTTTAGGACCTGCGTAGAGTCAGGCTATTTGTGGCACCAGCATCAGCCCAGGGATGCCAGGTGCCAGCAGAGGAAAGGGAGATTTTTGGGGGCAACAGCAGCAATAAGGCAAATGAGGGTTTAAATCCCAGCGTCACGCTAAACTCTCATGTTTTTGCTACCAAAACCAATTGTGTGGGGAAGAGAGGTCCCCTTGGCTCCCTACCTGCCAGAGGAGGATGTTCCTGGAGCACCTGCCTTCCTTTGATGCCTCCCTACCTTTGGCAGCCACTCCAATTAAAAGCTTGGGCTAATGAGCTAATGGGCAGCTCAAACCACTCACACCTTTGGTGAGTGGGCAGGGACCAGCACACCCTGAAATTCAAGAGTGTCTCCCATTGCTCCGGGCTGGGAATGACCCAAAATGCAGCAAAACCACCCCAAAACCTGGGTTGTACATGTACAGGCAGGTCTGACTCACTGCCAGAGGGGAAATGGCAGGGATGTGACCCTTGGCCTCTGAGAGGAGGGCAAAAAAAGGGAAAGGGGAGAAATTCCCACCCTTGCCCTCTGAGAGAAGGGGGATAAGGGGGAAATTCCCAGCTAAAGCTTCCAGCACTTTGGTGCATGGGCCTGGGGAGGAAAAAGAGACCCATCCCAAATCCACCCCCGAGTTTCCAAGCCACTGCCAGCAGGAAGGGCACCCAAGGCAGTGTCTGCCCGGAACAGAGGCAGCCCGAGTCTTCCTGCCCACCTGATGGGGATGGTGTCCACAGGGCACCTTCCAATGCCAGGGTAGTGCTGCCAGGCCAGTGGCATCCTAGGATGAGAATAAGGCTCAGCCAGAGGATGTGGGGCTAATGGGATGGGAGGAAGGCCCTTCTGGGAACATCCCAGCAGAACAGGTCTGAAGCAAATGTGTCCTGCCGGGTGTTTGCCGTCACCTTGCCAGGGGCACCACGTCCTCTCTATCCCCTGCCTGTCCTTCTCTCTGCCCCCACAGGGACAGAGTTCTCAGCCATTGGGATGGCAAAGACCCCAAATTCCATCCACTGCTGAGGAGCTGCAAAACCAGAGCTGGCTGGTGCAGGGATCCACAGGACACCAACATGGCCAGAGCCTTTCACATTATAAACATTTATTTATAGATGTACAATTGTATAAGTAACTCTAAATCGAGAGATACAGCCTCTGTGAGCATCCACTGGGATCGATGCCTTCTCCCTCCTTATGATCCATGGGTATCTACCAGGAAAAATAACCTGAAGGTTTTGGCAGGCAGGCTCCGGGCAGGGAATGCCACTGGGCAACACATCCAGCTCCTTCTGTAAGCAGGATTCTAGTTTAACCCCGTCCCCATCATCCCTGTGCCTCTATCGAGTACCATTTCCAATCCTGAACTTCTACTCAATTTCTTCTGAAGGTGGAGGAACCATTAAAAAAAAGGAAATAATAAAACCCCTCAAAATCAGGTCCAGGTCACGGTGGCTGTGGGATAACAGGGCCTGCAGCCAACAGGAGGCTGAAATTTCACAAAAGAAATAAACAGCCAAGACAGAGCGCATGGACTCCTAAGGACAACGGGATAAAACCACCTCTGCCAGCCCACCCGGGAGCTGCCGTGCTCCCAGCTCACTCCCATGACCGTGCCAGGGCATGATTTTCACTGGAAATGTCTTTAGACACAAATGATCTGCAGAGCAGCAAAAACAAAAACAAAAACAAACAAAAAAGTAAAATAATCCAGTTTATTCCATGGGAGGTGGCTCTGCTCATGCTGATTTTGCTTCCAAGAGATGGCTCCTCACCTGGAGTAGCCTCACACTGGTCCTGCCTGTGGTGGGGCAGGCAGAGGGCAGATCAGACACCGCCTGGTCTCCCCCAGCAGAACTTCTTCCAATAGAATACTTTGTTCCTTATGGATTTGTGGTATTTCCCAGGTGAACAGGGCCAGGCTGCACCCGGGAGCGCCGGTGGGTGGCTGGGGGGGTGAGGAACCCGAGCACAAAATCTCCCAACAAAGGGCTGTTGGAAAGCCCTCTCTGCATGGAGCACGCTGATTACCAGGCAGAATTCGAGCAGACTCGGCAGAAAAAGGAGTTACATGCACAAATGAACCAAAGACTGATGAGCAAAATCCATCCAGGACAATCCTTCCCGTCCCAAGCACGACGCCGGCGCTCAGCTGACCCTGCAGCTTCTGCCGATGCTGCAAATCCCCGGCTCCGGGCGGGCCGCCCCTGCTCTCCGTGACCCCCTGCACATTTGGGGTTTGGTTTTATCAAAACCCCAAGAGCAGGTGTATGGACATCCCCATCTGCAGAACATCCTCCTGGGAGCAAAGGACAGCAACTGCAAAGGGATTCCTGTTTTCCAGGAAGGAAAATGCCGTGGACAGAGACACCCTGGGAAGAGGCTTCCTGCCGCCCTGCTCCCCAAAACGGGCAGAAACCAAAATAATTTAATCATCCAACCCCTGCATAGTTTAAAAGTACAACATATATACAGCTTTAAATTAATGCTAAATAGATTATATTTTCTTTTTCTTTAGTGTCTTCTTTTATCAACAAAATCCCACTTCTCTCTCCTTGGCCGCAGCGAAGGGTCTCCTTCTGCTTCACGGCTTCTGCAGTTAGTTTGGGTTATTTTACACTCTGTGGGTCTGTTCCAGGGACTGTGGGATCCTTGTGGGATCCTTGTGGGATCCTGGGAGCACGCCAGCAGTGTTGGAAGGGGAGGAGGAAGACAGAGCTGGATTTCCTGTCCCAAGAGGCCTGTGATCTCAGAGGCAGAGAGAAGAAAGAGGGGCAGTTGTGCGTTGCTAATTCTCCAATTCCATTTTTAAGATAAGGTTTGATTCTTTTTAAATAGCAGAGTCTGTCACCTCGGCTCAGTGCACTTCCCCAAAAGTCTTCAGGCGTTTCAACGCTCTGGGAACAAAAGTGGCGGCGGTGTCAGTCTCCAGCCAATCTGTGACTCCCCCTTGCTTCCCCACCCCACAGCACAGGCAGCAGCTTTTCCAGGCTCTTTCCAGACCACGGGTGCAGGGAGGGAATTAAAGAAAAGCAGGTGATTAACACCAGAAGAGGCGCAGTCATCCAAAAGAGAGAGCGAGCGGATCAAGATAAGACTGCATCCAAAACCAAGATCCAAAACCCAAAAAAAAGCCCAATGTGCCCCGGAGGATTTGCTTTAAAGGCCAGACTGTCAGATGCCGAGGAAAACACCCCTCAAAAGTGCAAATCAAGCAGCTCAACGGCCAACATCCTCAAGGAGTCCCTGTGAGCCAGAACGGTGTCCATGCAACACCTGGAACAAGCTTCACCCAGAAGTTTTTCTATAGAAATACTGTGCTCAGACAATTTTGGGTTAGTGGGATCTGCACACTTCACAGGCAGCCCAGCCCGGTAGGTGAAATCAGCCCAAAAATTTTTGCAGAAAAAGAACTCCAAACCCTGTGAAAAATTTTTTTCATTATTTTCGTGCAGTTTCCCCAGCACATCCAGTCTCACATGTGTTATCTGGGCTCTCCTTAATCCAAGCTCTCCAACCCCCAAATCTTCCAGACCTCCCCCCCAGCTGCTTTTTACTTTGCTTGCCAGTTTAACCCAGTAAGTTACTTCTACAACCTGCTGGGAACATTTGCTTTGTTCTCCTTGAATGGGAAGGCAACGGGAGGGGGGACAAGGAACATCTGTTGGGTGGGACTCCATTCCCTGTCACCGCGCTGCTTCACGTGCCAGGAATCACAGCCTTCCCAGCAAAACAGACAACAAAGCAACTAAAAACAAGGACTCATTAAAATGTGGGGGCTGGATGCCACACCACCTAAGAAACTTCCAACTTCACCAAGGGATTCTGCCCTGTCGTTCCTAGAGGCCAGAGAAAACAGGGAGCCTGGAGAGAGCCGAGGGTGCCGACATGCAAACTAAACCGAATCAATTCCTGATTAACGAGGGAGCGCCCGTCGGAGGGGAGGCTGCATGTGTGCACCCCAAGGAGACTCCTGGAGGGCTGTGTCTCAATCAGGGGTTTCAGTGATAAAAGCACTACGGTTCCCTGCTCCCGGCTCGTACTTGGGCTGGGACTATCCGTGCAGGGAGGCCTGGACGTCTGACAGTCTGCTACAGCTGGGGGTGCCCATCTTCTGTGCCCGCTGGTACAGGTCCGAGTCCCCGAAGTAGCGTGCCCGGTACAACAAGCCTTCCTCTGCAAAGGGAAAAGCTCAGCGTCAGGAATGCCCTTTGGAAGAGCCTCCCCCGCCAGGCCCTGCTCCCCCACCGGCTCTGCTGGGAACAGGAGGCACCTCCAGCTGTCCAAGGTAAAGCAAAGGATGAGGATGAGGAAATGCCCCATGCCCTTCAGGACAGGATGGGCGTAAGAGCTGCTGACAGCTCATCCATCCCAGAAAAAGCCAAGGGAACCCGGCTCCGGTCCCTGGAGGTGCATGGGCAGCCCACACAAAGGTCGGAGCATTTGGCACCGCCCAGGGATGATCACAGCCCCCCCCAGCATTCCAGAGCTGAAACCCAACCCTGGCTGCTGCTCCAAGAGCCGTGACCATCACAGCAGCCAGAGCACACAGGTTGTCCCTGGACTCGCTGCTCTCACCACCCTCTGCCACCAGGATATTTATCTGGATCATCTGCCTGGGCAGCCCCTGCAGCCCTTGGAGCAGGGGTGGGATGTGGGACGCATGACCATGGGCAGCAGACTTTCTAGCATCGTCCTTGACCAACTGAAATATTAGACAGGGCTATCAGGGATCCCAGAGGTTCTACCTTCCCCCTCCACTGGAAATCAGAGGTATCCTGCTGACATGGCAGGGGAGCCTCTGGGCACAGCTCTTGTCTGACCAGTTCTGCAGCAGCATTAAAAAGCAAAACAAAACAAAAAAACCCCACATACCGGGTCTGTCATGAAGTCATAGACTGGAAAAAACAAAGCCAACAACACAGGAAATGTGCTGGCACTGTGTTAAAGTATAACTTCAGCACAACTTAGTCCTCAGTCAAAGACGTTTCCAAAGCCACCCCATGGAGCAGCTCCTGACCCCTCACTACTCACTCTGCTGCTTCTCTCTCCAGCAGTTGTTCCGAAGGTTTGCTATGTAGTCGTCCTCCACACTCCGCTCAACGTTCTTCAGGTTTGTGCCCGTGTACTCCTCAGCAAAGTTCTCGGACACGTAGTAGGGGACTTTCAAGTGCTCTGTGACCCTCCTGTGTGTGTGACCCACAGACCTGGTGCAGGGACAAGAGCACAACAGTGTAGGACACGTTTTGAGGGCACAGCAAAGCCCCCAGCTCAGGTGATGTGATTCCAAACAGCAGGAAACATCCCTCATCCCTATCCAGCCACCGGCTCGGAGGGTTAGAAGGGAGCAGCACTTCTGGTGGAAATGAGAGAAGCTGCCAGGCCTCCAGCAAGGTGGGCAGAGCTCTGAATACAGACATAACTCTAAGACATACTGCCCAGGGCCTAAACCCAGTTAAAATAAAATGTTCCCCAGAATTTTCATTAAATTATTAAATCTGTGATTTCCTCCATTCACAAGATGGGACCTGCTCTATGCCCCGGCTTGCATCAACCAGCACAGAAAACACTTTCCAGAAGGAAATGCCTTCCTCCCCTGGCCCTGTGGATTTGCATTTCAGACAAACCCCAGCTCTTGCCTCCCCTGACACCCCAGCAAACCTAGAGATCCTCCCTAGGGCGTGTGTGTGAGCTGTAACACAGGAGCTGGGCCCAAATGCTGGATTTGCCAGGAACGGCTCCACCTGGAGACGTGCCCAAAGTTCCCTGTAATAAACACCAGCTGCTGCTGCTGATTTAAAACCTGATTCTTAAGCCAGGTATAAACATTAACTCATCCAGCTCACCCTTCAGTCTGTTATCAGAATATACAGGTGGGATCCCAGGACTCCTGCACGTTTCACCAAGGCCCAGTGCCAGGTAACTGAAAGGGCTGAACAGGAGCACAGAGCTCTGCTGGGATTTCTCAAGGCAGAGAAAAAGCCAAGTTCACTATTTTCCCTGTCAAGACAGAGCCTTGAGCTCACCCAGCACTCACATTCCTCTCCTGGATAAAGATGGACTACAGAGCGTCCCCTCACAGGAGAAGGACTGGGAATGGCAGGGCTGCAGCAGCAGCACACTGGGGTGTGAAGCATGAAAATCAGGGCACAAGAAACCTGTCACCTGCAGTCAGACAGGCAATTAAGTCAGGCCAATTCCATGAGGTGTTACTGAACAGTAATGATGAGGCTCAAAGCCAGGCAGCTCTTCCAGCAGCAAGATCCTTTTTGGAAGAGATTTACAAAGGTAACAGTGGTTCTTTAAGACTCTGCCCTCCTCAGTGACACCTTCACTGTGGAGAAGTGGCATTTAAATCTGTGGGTTCAAAGCTTCTGTTCCCCTGCTCGCTTCCCTTCCCTCCCGGCAGAGGAGCTGGCAGTGAGTGATGCAGCAGCTCCTCCTGCCGGCCCTGCACCACCTCATTCCAGCTCAAACACCTCGGGAAGGCTGTGGCAGGGCGGGATGAACTCACTTCACACGTTTGTCCAAATCCTGGCTTGGAAATCGGGTTGCTTGCTGCTACCTGAGCATGCAGAGACAGGGACAGCACAGGGAACAGGGAATGGGGCAGCAGAGAAACATCTGGGGTTCAGGGATGGCTTCCTCTGGCAGTTGGCAAGGCTGGAAGCAGATCCCTGCCCACTTAAATGCCTTCACTGTCTTCTCACCCCACAAACGCTTCACCAGTATAAACCAAACTGGTGCATGTGTGTAATGCTTAGTTTCACAATGCTATTGCCAACTGTGGAAATCACAGCTCAGCAGCCTTCACCCTCTCAGAATAACCCTTAACTGTGCCAAAACCATCCCATCTTTTGGTCCCAAGCACCAATGTCACAGTCTTTACTCTGAATCTGAAAGCGTAGCTGGGTTTTATAGTAATTAACATCATGCCCCTCCCCTGGAATTGTTCAAGGCCAGGTTAGTCAGGGCTTGAAGCAATCTGGTCTAGTGGGGGAGGTGTCCATGGCCGTGGCAGGGGATGGAACAAGATAATTTTAAGGTCCAAAGCCTTCTGGGATTCTATGATCAATGGCAAACATTGCTACCTGTGAAAATAGGCAGGAACACCAGGCTGCAACCAGGTCTGCCCTCTCTAAATGCACATAAGGAACTCACACTGAACACGTAGTAAGCTTTTGCCAAGAATGATGCAAGCAGACAGAAATCAAGCCTGTTTTCCCACTCTCTGTTAGCACTGCAAAGTGACTAAGAATGAGGACACATTCCATTAGTCACCAAAGGGAGAAGATCAGGGCATTTCCACAGGATCTAGAACAGAGCAGTTTCACTTTCACATACTAAATGTCTGGCCAAAGCTACTTCATGGAAAGATGAGAGTTCAGAAACAGGGGACTTCTCTGGGAGTGTCTTTTATTCCTCACCCTCTTCCTCTGCTGTGTTGTACTAAGGCTTTCATGGAGAACATGGCTTTTGTTTTTCACACTCTACACCTCAATTTTGTCCATATGGGATTTTGGTGCTGGGCTGCAGCCTCCCCAAACCACTTTGTCTGCCCCTTTCCGTGACAGGCACAGCTGTGGGTACGGACTCCAGAAGGTCCCTGACAAGGAACTCTCTCCATTAGGGAAATGAGCACCCTCCAACCTTCCCTGTACCTTGTATCTCACAGCTGTTTGAGAAGCACAAAGGCTTCACTGGCAGCAAGAGCAATGGGGTCAGGAGATAAAGCAAAAAAAAAAAAACAAAACCAAAGGAAGAACAGATGCAAGATCCCTGCCCCCCCCACACCCCTCCAGAGCCCACCCCCTCCCCATGTAGACAAGTTTTAGAGGAATGGGTACTAACAGCCTGTGACTCAAACTGTAGGGTGGGCTGGAGACCATCATCTGGCTGAGAGCAGACACGATGATCAGGATGAGGATGGGCATCAGCTGGACAAACAGCCCCAGGCCACCCTGAGGGAACAGAAACACACACTGGAGTGCCACCCATACAGCTGGACAAGGATCCCATGGCACCTCCCTTCCTCCTTCCCTCTCAGCGCTCCAACACAACCTTCTCTCTCCTGCTTTTCACAGGGAGTAACCCAAAACAGCTGGGGGGAACCCAGCAGCCCACAGGACATCGTGACTCTGAAGGTCCAAACTCCCTGGCTCTTCTCTGGATGTGACAACGGGCAGAGGGGACTGCCAGGGGGAGCCTTGGCAGGGAATTCCAAAAGCCTCATACCCACAGTTCATCTTTCTAGAGCAAACTAGTGAGCAGGATTGGTTTTATGGATGGCCTTCTCCCCTTTTCAGTGCTGGACAGATGAAGGTAATTCCCCTTCTCCCTTACCTCCCAAGCTCCCTTCATTTCCACCTTTAAGCTCAAGATAGAAATATTCAGGAAGTTCTTGTTTGTTCTTTTACAATAAAATTGGCTCTGCCCAGACAACAGCCATAATAACCCTGACTCCAGCTTTCTGTTTGGGAGGGTGGCAACAAGCAGGACTGTTTCACAAGCCAGGCACAGCACCCAATGAAGTGCTGTGAAAACCTCCAGCCCCCCAGATCCCAGGTGTTTTTCACTTACATCTCCCTGATGCTCCCGCCTGTCCTGCCTCTGGTGGTAGGTGTACCTCATCCTGCCATTGCTGTACACGTGAACATTACCTGAAGGAAGAAGAAAACTCTTACTCCAAAGTCACACTGTGGAGGGTGCTGCTGGCTGGCCAGGGAGGGGCCACAAAAGGTGGCTGTGATCCCTGTCACCTGCTCTCAGGCTGAAACAGGATATTCCTGAGGTGGTTTGAGTACAGAGTGGGCACAGAGCTCCTTCTGTAAGATTCTGCAGGATCATATGAAAACTCAGCTTGGAGGTGACCTCAGGAAGTTCAGCCTCCTGCCCAAAGCAGGCAGGGTAGCTACAGAGAGAGAATACCCTGCACAGGCCTTCTCCCTTCTGATGGAATAGATTAAAACCAGTTACAAACATAAATAATTCTGGGTTTTTTCCCACCCTGCAAACAAAGCTCTTCCATGTCTTGTTTTAAATGTCAAAGCTACAGCTGCAAAGGGAGCCAGGCTGAGAGCAGCCCTCAAATCTCTCGAGACAGTGAGGAAAGGGAAAAAGAGACTGAGCTAAAATAGCAACATGCTGTTTTTGCCAGGCAGAGCACAAATGCTGCAAAAGGGTTCCAGATGCTTTTGAGCCACTGGTGTTGGGGTGCTAGTGCTTAGATTCCAGACAGGAAAGAGCTACAAGAGTGAATTTTCTTTACTGAAACCAAATTATTTTTTTCATGTTGGTCTACAGAGGTCAGGAAGCCCTGTGTCCACTTCCAGTCAGATGTAACTGGAACAAATACGAAGGAGTGTTCCAAAATACCCTTCTCCTGACATGGAATCTGTCTTTTGAGAAAGTAAAGGAACAGATTCTTTCCTGCTCCCCAGGCCATGATCAGGACACAGATTTATTTTTCAATTCACAAGGTCTAAATTATGCTGTAGAAATATTATTTTCCTTTTTTATGGGACACAGGGGAGAGAAGGAAGTGGCCACTGATCTTGGAGAACCTGTTCTAGCTGCATGGTGGAGTAGACAGAGATCAAGAACAAGGCCCAGCTGTTACCACAGTTTGCTCTGGTAAGATTTAAATTCCAAAACCACCAGGCAGAAAAGCCTTCCTCAAAACGGGATTATTTTCACAATTACCCTTAAAACAAGTCACTTTTTGTTCTAGCATCCAACCCAACTTAACAGCAGATTGCCAGCATGCAAGCAAACACCTGAGGCTGGGAAGAAGTCCAGCTCTGATGGTTGCCGAGTTCTCCAAAGATGAACCATTTAAGAAACTCAAAAGTGTTTTGGCCACACGTGAAGGAGAAATCCCCCTCATCCAGCCTAAAGAAGCCCAACTGCAGCAAAAGGATGAGGCCCCACACAAGAAATGCAGATTTAAGGTGCTTACTAGAAGGAAAACCACCCCCAAAGAACATGTTGAAGAGGTCCTCGGGGGAGATGTCGGCCTCGAAGCCGCGGTGGAAGTCGGCGTGGCTGTGTCCGTGGCGGGCGGGGTTGAGTTTCTCGTCTCCGAACTGCTCGTACTGCTTCCTCTTCTCGGGGTTGCTCAGCACCGCGTACGCGTTCCCGATGGCTGTGACACGGACACGAGGAAGCAGTTAGCTCCTTCCTCCCGCCTGCTGCCCTGCACACTGCCAGCATTTGCCCTTCCTGTCGTACAAAGCAAGAGATTCGCCCACCCACGTCTTTGCAGCAGGTACCTGGCACACGGCTCGGGCAAATCCAGGCAGGAGGAAACCACACTCAGGGAAAAATTCCATAATGAATTCAAATGAAGAAGTTATGATATGACTGATAAGGATTTGGTGCATGTCCCCAGAGAAACCCTTCAGCTGTAGGCAGCTGTGTAGGGAAATAAAATTTTAGTTGACAAATTTTATTCAAAAGTGGCATTAAGGGAATTCGATGTCAGAGCCTAGAACTAGAACTGCAAATAATTTAAATACGGGCTGAATCCCTGAAAGGGACTTTAACACTTTCCATAAAAGCTGCATCAGCTAAGAGTTTCAGTACTTCCAGATGCCACATGTAAGGTGCAAAATTACAAGGATTGTTAACCAGTGCCTGTGAGGCTGGAAATGTACTGGAAATAAACCCCTGCCAGGTCCCTGGGTCCCTCTCCTCCCAGCCTTTTTCCCAGAACGTCTACCTGCCACCCTCCCATTTCTGTATTCGCCTCTCCACACATTCCAGCTTCCCACTGCTGTCTGCACCAAGCCACACCAGGGCTCCCTGCATTGCAAGGACCCAAAATGCCCATGGCAGCAGGTGCCTGGTGTGTAAAGGGCAGGGCAGAAGGGATGGAAAAGGGGGAACAGTGGGATAACGTGCCCATTTGGAGATCAGCTCCAAGATTTGATACTTTCCCCATGGTCAGGTGGAAGTGTATGGTTTCTTCTTGGAGTGGAGATTTGGAGGGCAGAGGATGTAATGTCAATACACTCCTTCTCCCTCTCGGTTATAATTAGTGCACCCAGAGCAAACATTTCTAGAGCCAGGCAAGGAAGCTGGAGGACAAGGACTGACTCAGAGTGTATCAACCACATAGCTGAAAAGAACAAAAGAAGGAACGACAATGGAGCGGTTCAGGGTTTGTTTGCTCTTTGACTTTGTGCTGACAAAGCCCAAGAAATGCCTCATTCCAAAGCAGGATTTTAGCTCCAAGTAGCCAGGCTCAAGGCTTTTTCCAGGAGCAAACAGGTAGTGATGCAGATCTGCCACGAGACAGCTTGCAGCCAGCTGGAACTGTACACTGAGACACGGGCTCAGCACATCACCTTATCAGCAGTCACTGGGAAGGTGAATGCCAAGACTCCAGCTAATACATCAACATAAGGAAAAATTATCTCATATCCTCACAGCAGGGCACGTTTCCCCCTCCACCCTCTGGAGCCAAGCAGGGTGACTTCAGCTCAGCTCAGGGGCTGACGGACAGGAAGCCATGGAAGCAAGACCTGGAGGAGATAACCCCGCAGTGGGGGATAAAGGGCACTTTGCTTAACGCTCCACTTCTGACACATAACTCCTGCAAAAGCCTTGGGCAAACATCATTATTCAAGTTTACAGGTGAGGAAACCTGCCTTTGGCCACGGAGGGATCCATGGATGAGCTGTGGAGCAGCAGGTCTGCACAGGCAGAGCTGATACCTGTGTGCAGATGCCCTTTCATCTGCCCCCCACACCAGCACAGGCTCTCCCAGGTAGCTGGGGGGTCAGTCACTATTTGCTAACACTTATCAGGGAAGGATTTAAGTCTTAAAAGGCTTGAACAAACCTTACCTAAGACTTTTACTGCTGAATTTGTGTCTGTGAGGAGCTCACCTGAATACTGTACCAGTACATTCACATCAGGCTAGGCCTGCTCCCTGCTTCAGCAAAGGTCTCATGCATTTCACTCCTAAAATCAGGCTGCTTTGTGGTGCAAGGTGCCTTAGAGACCTTCTCGGTTCCATGCTCTGCCATGGACAGGGATACCTTCCAATATCCCAGGTTGCTCCAAGCCCCATCCAAGCTGGCCTAGAAAACTTCCAGAGATCTAGGGGCAGCCACAGCTTCTCTGGGCACCTGTGCCAGAGCCTCAGCATTATCCTGAGTAAAGAATTTCCCTCTAAAAGTGGCCAGAATCAGATTATTTTAACAGCTTCCAAACCAGTGCTGTGCAACTGGCACCAAGGAATTCTGTGTTTAGCTCAATGATAATAATCAAACTTCCACAGCATGCAGGGGAAAATGGGATTACATGTTCTGAGCAACAGTATCTCTCTTGGAAATTACTCAAATTTTAAGGTTTCTTATTACCCAGGAAACACCCCTGCTGCATTTATAGAGAGGATCTGAGAATTGGGTTCTTTGCAGTAGAACCAGAGCTCCTTTTCTAAGTTCTGACTGGGCTCACTTGTATATCTGCTGCAGTTTTACGCTAGAAACTTCCACTTGGGATTTCTATCCACCAATTCCATCCACAAATGGTTGGGTGTTTCCTGGAATGTTTCTCCTGAGGGGTTTGTGAGCCCTGCGTCTGCCTCTGGTGCTGCATAAGTTAACTGGGTTAATCCTGACAGAATTCCCCCCTGAGCAGCAAGGCAGGAGCTTGGAGCAACACACAGGGAGAAAGAGAAGAAGGCTTCTCCTAACCCAGCCAACAGCGGTGAATCCTACACATGCCAACCTGTGTTTATTATTTTAAGTTCATACTTTGGTTATGACACGACCAGCTCTGAAGGGAGAAAATTTCACAAAGAGCAGCTTTATTTCACTCTGCCTGACTCATGGGATTGTTTTTAAGGGTTCTCACAAGCCCAGCTTACTGAGAGTGGGGGGCAAACCACAAATCTGGAGCTGGCTTTACCTTTGAATGCCTCTGTGGCCCCCGGTGCGTGGTTCTTGTCTGGGTGGAACTTCAGGGCCAGTTTCCTGTAGGCCTTTTTCAGATCCTCATCGGAAGCGTCTCTGTTGACTCCCAGAATTTCATAGTAATCTTTGCACTGCTTTACCCTGCCATGGGAGAGGGGAGCAAACACCGAGTTCTAGGAGTAAAAACCTGGATATAAAAACTGGATATAAAAACTCTTGAATACTCGTCAGCTGTGAGACTTTTCAGGCAGCACAGTTTCGATGGATGTTGCTCAGGGATCTCTGCATTACTCAGGCCCTGCTCCTCAGAGGTGACCCAGCTGTTCTCACCCACTCACTCCGGCTGTGCTGGGAGGACCAGCACAGAATGAGTTGGGCTAGTGGAGGAGGAAGAGCCTCCCCTCAGACCCACACAGGAATGTGACTGGCAGATAAACTTCACATTCATCATCCTCGTGTGTTGGAGGCTGTTTGGGAAGGACTACAGCACCTGAAGGATACTGGCCTTTCCCCTCCCTCACTCTCTCTTCAGCTAATTCCCAGATTTAAAACTTCCATCAGCTGAACTCCAGAGAAAAGAGGGAGCAGCCCAGGGTGTGCAGCCCATTCTTCCTGGGCACACTCAGCCCAGCCAAGGCTTCTGCTTCTCATGTGATGAGACAGAATCCAGCAGGCTGGGTTTCAGGAGAAGTGGATGACGTAACAAACATTCCTGCAAATCCCTTGAAGTGGTTCTTGCACAATTCAGGCCATGCCCATAACCTTAAACAAAGTTTACCAAGTGATAGCACCATAGCACCTGCAGTTCAGTCCTTCAGCTTCCAGGATGGGCAAATGGGAGAAAGGAATAAAGGGAAGCTTGAAAGAGGGTTTGGAAAATGAGCAGACCCAAGCCAGCTGCCTACCAGGGCTGCTGGAGCTATAAATCCTCCTGGGCATGTTTTTAACACTATTCTATATGGTTCAAAACCCAAATTTTTAAAATCCTGTGAAAAGCACATGGGGTACCATGTGATAGAGTCAAACAAATGCCCCTGAGAGCTGTGGACAAACCTCTTAACTGCATCCAGCTGGTCCTGAGTGTAGCCCTTGGGGGCCTCCCCCCCAGCCTCTCTGTTGGCTGATGGGAATTCTCCACTCATTTTCCTGAACTGATGGTTTGTGGATTCCCTGGGTTGGGATTGGCCATTGGCTGAATGCTCATTCTTGTTGAGTGACTCAAGCAGAACTGAAACGAGAGAAACAAAAACATGAAGTAGAAAGCACCAAGCTCAACCTGCCCTTCCAGCTCTCCCATGAAGAGATTTCTCTTAATTTCTGCCACCTTCCCAAGATCCCCCCATCCTTCCCCAGGAAGACCCTCACCTTCCCTCCCATGTAATCTTTCAGCTCCTGTTGCTTCTGACCCAGATGTGAGGACCACTCCTGAAGATAATTCTGCTTCTCCCAACACACACAACCTCCATAAAAACCCCAGGACCACCCATACAGACAGGCCAGGAGCCACAGCAGATCAGCAAAGCAGTGTATTCCTGTCCTTTTTTCCCTTCCACCTCTCCTTGACAGCAAAGCATGTCCAAATTCGTCCTTTAGCACATCACAGTGTATTATTCTTCTTTATCCCCTGCTTTTGGGAGCCTACAGTGCTGGGGAAGTGATGTGACAATGCCATATCTTCAGATAGCTTAGAAAATAATTCTGTGGGCTGCCAATCCCACAGGGACACTCCCCTTTTGGGGACAGAGCTGCAGCACTGCTGGCTGCCAGCTCCTCACATGGGTGCTTTGCTCTCCTGTCGGAGCAGCTGTGAAACCCATCTTCCCTCTCAGGTACTGGGAGTATAATAAATTCACCTTCCCTTTTCTGCTCCTCCTTGCAAGGCTCAGGCACTGTTTTCTATCCTCTGCAGCCAAGAGGGGACAAACACGCAGGCCTGGCCTAACCACCCAGGGGACACAGTGGAGGAAGATACCAAACACCTTTCCATCATGCATTTCCCTGGCAGCTGCATAGCACCATCTTTTAAAACTGCTTTTTCAACCAAGCATCAGACTGATTTCTTCACCCCCATTCAAAACAACAGGCACACATACTACAGTGAAACCCAGCCAAGGATATTTACACAGGCCCCAGTATCCTGAGCTTGCAGTCCTTTATCCAGACCCTAGAGCTGGGGAAGAAGTTCCAATCCTCCCATGGATTGCACACCACAGACCTTGTACTATGGGAGTATCACCTTCTTTAGGCAAGTGCAAACAACACTTGCAGGCCAAGAGATGAGCCAAGATATCCTATCTGGTCCCAGCACTCAGAGGGGGCAGAAAAATCCACTCAGGAATCCAAAAGCCAATACAGGATGAGGGATGCAAAGGACAGTGGGCTAAGGAGCAGTAACTCACTGGATGAGTTTTGGGCTTGGGGGCTTCACAAATTTAAAATGAATTTCTTTTAGAAAAGTAAATTCTTCCCTCGCTCATATTTCCAATGCTTCAGTGTTCACTGAATTGCAGTCTTTGGTTTTGCTCCTTCTAAACCTGAAGCAATCTGCCAGGTGATTTTAAATTTCACCTCACGAGGCTGTTCCCACACCTACTGCCCTTCCTGCTCCTTTGGGCTTTGTTCCCTACAGCTTACCAGGAGATTTTAATTCCAGAACACTTCAGGTTGGAAGAGATCTCAAAGCCATCCATTCCCACCCCCTGCCATGCGTAGGGACACCTTCCACTGTCCCAGGCTGCTCCATGCTCCAAAGTCCAACCTGGCCTTGGGCACTGCCAGGGATCCAGGGGCAGCCACAGCTGCTCTGGGTACCCTGTGCCAGGGCCTGCCCACCCTGCCAGGGAACAATTCCTAATTCCCAATATCCCATCCAGCCCTGCCCTCTGGCAGTGGAAGCCACTCCCCTTGTCCTGCTACTCCAGTTCCTGATAAAATCCCTCTCAAATTTTCTTGTAGCCCCTTCATGCCCTAGAAGGAGCTGTGAGGTCTTCATACATCCTTCTCTTCTCCAGGCTGAGCAGCCCCAGCTCTTCCAGTCTGGCTCCATAGGGAAGGTGCTCCAGTCCCCTCAGCAACTTGATGCCTGCCCTGGGCTCTCTCCAGCAGCTCCAAGTCCCTCCTGTGCTGGCCCCAGGGCTGGGGCAGCTCTGCAGGTGGGGTCTCACCTGAGCACAGGGGCAGAGGAGCAGAATCCCCCCTCTCCTGCTGCCCAGAGTGCATCTCCCAAACCCAAGCACAGACACCCACAGATGGCCACAGGTCAGTCCCATTTTGCTCCACAGCCCCAAACCTGCTGCTTTTTGCATCCTCTGTGCAGCCCCAGCACAGCACAAATTCAGAAGCAGAGAGTGCAGAATTAGATTTCAGTTCTGCCAACTGAGTTCCTCTCAGCATGTGCCACAGAGCCTTTTCCCTCCCTTATTAGCCAACACTTGCCCAACTTCCCACAAATTTTCCCCAGCTCCCACTTGAAGGTGACCAGAGTGTGACTGTGTCTCAGCCAACGTGTCCTGACACAAAAGATTTTTGCTGCAATCCCCTTGCAAAACTCTTCCCTGATCCCAAAAATCCCAGCCAGGGTCAGAGTTTGCAGCACTGGCTGAGCAACGCCACGTTGCTGAGTGTTGCCAAACCCTGGGTATCTCCTGGGGAAGAGATTTCCCAGGAGCTCCTCAGAGGCTCAGGGACCACCGTGGGATCTCTGGCAGCATTTCCCAACTCCAGACCCAGCAGGACATGGAACAAAGGGTCCTTGGATGAGATACGTGGTTAGGTCTGGCCACAAATTAGCATGTTGTGTTTGACATTAACCTGCCCTGCTGCCCCCCACTCCCCAGGCTCTGCCTTCCTCCAAAAGTCACTTTTCCTACCCAGTAATTTCACCAAAGTATAAATTCCAGAGGAAAGGGAGCAGAGGAAAACCACACCACAGCACACGCTGTGTTTGAGGGAGGAGGCCTGGTGCAACCAAAAAGAGATTACAAGCTGCAAGGCTCAGCCAGAAAATCCAAACTCAAAAAAAGAAAAAACAAAAAAAAAAAAAAAAAAAAAAAAAAAAAAAAAAAAAAAAAAAAAAAAAAAAAAAAAAAAAAAAAAAAAAAAAAAAATTAAACCTTCAGCCCTTTGCATAATATTCAGCCATGTAAGAACATGCAGGGAAAGAATCGAGTTTGGCCGCTTTCACAAACCACTTCCCATATGAATTACAGCTTTCAGGAAATGATGAAAACCAACATAAATCTGGCAAAAAGTCTTGGAGGAGGATTGTTTTGTTACATGTGAGAGTGTGAGCTCAGCCCCAGCCTGTCTGTCTGCAAACAGGGGGCAACTGCTGGAGCAGGGACAGGACAGGGAGAGGAGGAATACGATGGAAACAGGAGGAATAGGAAGAGGAGAGGAGGAGGGATGGGAGAAGGAAAGGAGGAGGAGAAGAGGACAAATAAGAGGAAGAGATGAGGAGGAATAGGAGAAGAGAAAGAATAAGAGGAGGAATGCAGGAACAGGGAAGAGAGGAATAGGAGAGGGAGGGGACGAATGGGAGGAGGAGAGGAACAGGAATAAGAGGAGAAAAACAGGAAGAGGAGAGGGACAGAAGGAGGAGCAGGAAAAGAACAGGAGCAGAGGGACAGAAACAGGATAGGAGAAGGAGAGGAGGAATAGGAGAGGAATAGGAGGAATGCAAGGAGGAGACAAACAGGAGGAGGAATAGCAGGAGTGCAATAGGAAAAGGAGAAGAGGAATAGGAGGAGGAGAAGAGCTTTTCGAAGCCCCCCGAGAACCTCTCCCTCGCCTTGCCGAGCTCCTTCCCTCCCCTCAGCGCTGCTGCACCAGCAGCGGGTGTTGTGCCCGTGGCTCAGGGGTGCCACAGCAGCACGGAGCCGGTCCCCCTTCCCTTCCCGGCGCTCTCCTGACTGTGAGCCCCCGTTAAAGACAGAGGCCGCGGGCCGAGAGTGCCGGATCGCCGCCCATCGGTGCCCGGTCCCCGGCGGTACCGCGGCCGAGACCCCAGGACACCCCCGGGACCCCCGAGGAACTCGCTTTCCCGCCGTCCCCCGCGCGCACCGCGCAGGCGCCGTGAGGGTGAGAGGTCAGGCCCGGCGGCGGCCGCGCAGGCCGCGCTCCCCCGGGCCCCCCGCCGCGCCCCCGGGCCGGCGCTCACCGCGGACCCGCTGCGAGGGGTACAAGCGCTGCGCCTTCTCCAGGAAGCGGCGGGCCTTGTCGGGCTGGTTGGCCTTGAGGGCGGCCAGTGCAATACCAATGCACCGCTCCGCCTCGTCCCGGTTCGACTCCATGGCGGCGGCGGCCGGGCGGGGGGGGCGGGAGGGCGGGGCCGGGCGCGGAGCGATGACGTCACGGAACCCGGCCCCCGGGCGGGGCGGCTCTGTGGGGCCGGGCGGGCGCGGGGGGCGGCGGGGCTCGGGCGGGGAGCGCCCTGCCGGCCACCAACAGCGGGAGGGCAAAGCAGAGGGCACCCCGGAGGGGAACATTATTAACATCGCCTCAGGAATTGTCAAAACATTAGAGCCTTCCTCCTTATGGAGCTTCCAGCCTTTGGAACAGGTCCTGGCTGCAGGAGACGCTGAGGAGGGAAGAGGCTGCTCGGGGCTCCGTCACATTGTTGCACACTGCTTCACATTCAGTAGCAGCAGGGATAGCGGGAACCTGTAATTCCAAAAAGGAATCCAGAGACAGGTGACAGATCCCTGGAGGCTGGCCATGGGGAGCAGGCAGGGGAGAGGGAGGAACAGCTGGGGCAGGAAGGGCCGGACCTGCACACCCACCTTGGTCTGTGGGGTGACAGCACAGTAACCCACACCCAAACCACCCCGAAGGTACAGGCACTGCCTGGAAAATGAGGGAGGAAAGGAAGAGAACTCTGGCTGGAGTGGTCAGGATCAATATCCCAGTACAAACCACAGAATCCTACAATAGTTTGGGTGGGAAGGGACCTTAAAGCCCCTCCAGTGCCACCCTCTGCCATGGCAGGGACACCTTCCACTGTCCCAGGGTGTTCCAAGCCCCAGTGTCCAACCTGGCCTTGGACACTGCCAGGGACCCAGGACAGCCACAGCCTCTCTGGGCATCCTGTGCCAGGGCCTCATCGCCCTCACAGGGAAGGATTTCTCCCCAATATCCCATCCATTCCTGCCCTCTGGCAGTGGGAAACCATTTCCCCTCATCCTGGCACTTGAGGCCTTTGTCAATATTCCCTCTCCATGTTTCCTATCACCTCCAGGCACTGCAAGGCCACAATTAGGTCACTCTGGAGTTTCTCTCCAGGCTGAACAATCCCAACTCTTCCAGTCTTTCCTCCCAGCAGAGCTGCTGCATCCCTCTGATCACCTTGGTGGCTTCTCTCTCCAGCAGCTCCATGTCCTTCCTATGCTGGGGAAGGAAAGTATTCCAGGAGTGATTGATCCCCTTTGGCTTTCCAGCTCTGGAAAGTCATGGAGGTTCCCCCCCTCTCCTTCCAAAGCACCCCATCTTCAGTACCTCAGTGCCAGTCTTGGGGCAGGGTCTGGAGCAATGGAGAGACAGAGGCAGGCTGCTGTGAGAACATCTTTACATGGTATTTTACAGGACAGCACCCGGCAAACCACGCCTGTCAGGCCTTCCCAGTGCAATTCCCCACTCAGGAGATCAGTCAGGGAGCTCCTGCAGCAGGAGGCTTCTGCAAGGCAGGAAGGGCAGGACAGCTCCACTACTTTTAGCTGCCCTTCTGCAGCAGGTGCAGCACGGAGCTTTTGGCTGGCTGAAATCCTGGCCTGGGATTCAGGAAATCCAGGAATTGCCTGGCTTTTCCAAAGAGTAGTCTGAGAAATAAAAGAATCCCCCCCCCCATGCCATTTTTTCATAGTACTAAATAAAGGTGATTTGGGGCCCAGCTCTGGAGCAGGGCACATCACACCATGCAGCTGGTGGCAGTAAAAGTCCTTTCCTTGTTCCTGAGAGAGAGGAATATGAAGGAGCCAGCAGCAAGCAAATACAGCAGGCAGGATTTCTAACTTGGATTGACAAAACCCTCCTGGTACAGCCAGCCTGGGCTCTCCAGAGCCTGGTGCCACCCTGCTGTGCCCATGGGCTGATCCAGGGAATGGGGGTGCTCCTTCCCAACCCTGCTACTGCTGCTTGGGAGCTGTGAAGTCCCATGCTGTCTCCTGGGCACACTTCCACATGGCCCTCATGAGCCGTGTGAAACCCATGTCCTTGGGCTTCTCCAAGCCTCGCATCAGGCGCTGCTTCATGATGGCAACAAACTCCTTGTTGCTCAGCTCTCCATTCCCTGCAAAAAGGAGGAAAAACAATCAGAGACCCACCAGCAACCTCCTTGAAATTATAACTTTAAAGGGTAACAGCCATGAGTGTCCTTTCCTCCAGAAACTGAGAGCACATTTGGCTCCCATCTCCCAAAATATCCTGCTGAGCAAGGGTTCCTGAGCCAGAGAACTTAAATCCCAACCCCATGGATGCTTGCAGGAGGCAGAAAAGCAAATGCAAACCAAATGTCCCTGTCCTCTCAGGAAACACTGCTTTAAGTGGTTTAGGAAATTATGGGTGCACAAATGTTTCAAATGGAGTAGAAGGGAAGATTTGTCAGTCTGATTAATGAGGTTATGGAGAATGCAGCCACTGGAAGCAAAATTCCAGCAAACTATCAAGGGCTGAGCAAAATTCCCTCCAGTGCTTCAGATTTTTAATGTCTGTAAACACTGATGGAGAGAAAACAACAAAATAATAATAATAATAATAAAAAGACATCTGTGCCTGGTTACATCCTTGGGGGACTCCTCTGGCAACCAGAGTCTTTCCCCCCACAAGATTTGCTGTGAAAATATTTAGGAGATTCTCCTGTGAGAGAAGGCAAACAGGGAATATTTGGATACACTTCAGCTCACTCTAATCTCCAGCCTGATCATCTGGCGTGAAGATTGTATCACAACAGTGATACTGAAGCACAGAGGAAAATAAAACAGGAGCTGTGACCTTAGAAACCTGCAAAGGAGCAGGTGGGGCTGAAACCAAGAGGGACAACAAGGAATAAATAAATTAAATAAATATTTTAATGTTCATGCAGCAGTGCTGCCACTTAGAGCTGCCAGATGCTGGTGACTGTGCTGGAGAAGCAGGGTGCCATCCAGGACTCTGATTTTGGCTTGGCAGTTTTGGGCAAATGCAGAATTTCCTTCTTTCCAAGTCAGAATTGCTGTCACCTGGCAAAGACTCCAGGAACTCCCATTAAATCAAGCCAGGAGTGCTTCAGTGTGGCAACAACTACCCCGGGGCACGCACACCCTCTGCAAAGCCAGCTTCCCACCAGGGCACAGAGCTGCTATTAATTAATTAAAAACTAAGCTGACATTTGTCTAGGACTTTGGAGATAAAGCCCCAGACCGGCTCGTTTCCAACGCTGGAGCACAACAGTCCATTTTGTTAAACCAACTGGAGTTCTCTGGCGGGGAAAAGGAGCATAAGTGTGCACACCAAACCTTCCCATCTGTGCTCCAACATCCACATCTCACAGGGCGGCTACCACCCTTCCCAAAAGGGCAGGGGGAATGTGGGAAATGGATTTGTAGAGAATTCTCAAAACCTGACAGAAAGCTCACACAGTGTGCATCTGTATGCAAACTTTGAGAGAAGAAATGCTGACTTAGAAATGCCATGGTATAGGACAGACATTGTTGAGAGAGAAATGGAACCAAAAACAAGTTTCAAAGGATGGCCTTGTAAAAAAGACTGGATACTTTGAAGAAATAGAACCATGAAAGATTCATTGTAGTGGGACCCATGAGGGGTAATTTAGATGATTGGCTTTAAGTCATTTACAGCATGGTGTGGCTAAAGCTGATAGGCCAAGAAACACTTACAGTGTATTGTAATTAGGAAATAGTTGGCTTCTGATTGTGATGGTGTGAATTATAACATCTGTATTGTCTCACCCTTCACGAGACTGAAAATGGAATAAAAGTTTTTAAAAGACCTCTCAGTTGCCCCATCTCTGGGTCAGAAAAGGGCACAATCCAACAGGGGTTCACCACAGATCCACGGACAAGGAGCATGGCGAGAAGAGCCCTGTCCCCCCGGATTTCTTGCCCTGGACTCTCACAGCCTGGCTGAGGTCGGGGTGCTCACTCACCGTCACAGTCGAAGAGCGCGAACACCACGTCGCACACGTGGTCTGACAGCTCCACCTTGGCCACTGTCCTGGCCACCTGCTGCATGGTCACTGCAACAGAGGGAGGGCACAGGGTCACACAGGGCGCACGATGTGCCAGCCACAGCAGGAGACTGCTGTTGTTCCTCCATGGAAAACGACCTTTGGGTCTTCAGAGAGGCCTGGAATAAGCTTGATCAACAAGGTGGATCCTGACAGCATTCCAAGGAATGCTATCAAGCATTCAACTCTATCAAGCAGGGTATTAAAAAAACTGGGAATTCCAAAAACTGCTTTTCCTGTTGCAACCCGGTAATTGCAGAACGAACCCACTCACCTGCCTGCAGGGAGCAAACCAGATTAAACTTGCAATAAAATAGAGTTGTAAGGAATTTTTTTCCCTTTTCTCCCCAGACTGGCAGCAGAGAAGCAAGCAGGAGTTTTATTCCCACCTTTAGAAAAGGGCAATCCATGGAGCTATCAATCTGGCAGGGTTAGGCAGTTGATTTTGCTGCACAAATGGGGAAAAAAGTGCCCCCTCACTAGGGTGGTATAAGTGTATTTAAATTGCTTCTCTATAAAGCCTGACCCAAGGAAACGCCATCCGCAGCAACTGGGATCAATGTTTAGCTGTGGAGCAAGGGAAAAGAGGGAAGTGGTCCATCACAAAACCAGACTGAAACCACAAACAGCCTCTGCATTCCTCCACAGTATCCTTATGGGGTTTCTGCAAACCCAGTCCTTCAGGAATTTTGGAGAGTTGAGTGTCAAAAAGGAAAAAATAATCATGCAATGTATACCATTACTGGATTAATTACAAACTGCATAAAATATTTCTAATGGGATTTTTTCATTGACGTTTACATTATTGGTACCTTCCACCCCGTTTCTGCTCCCCTGAGTGAAATCTGGGGTTTTCTGAGAGGAATAAACAGCCACCATCAGGTCCTTTTCCCCATAAAACCTCTCCTTTTACTAAATAATGTAGTAGAAAATTGAAATGATGCATTGTATATATGTAAAATATATAATCTCAAGAAAGACCCTACTTTTCCCACATAATTATTCTTTTTGAGTGAAATTCCTTTTCTCCATGAGTGATGTAGCTCCAGTCAGCAGTTATTACTCTGTATTTCTTCAGACAGAAACACCAAATTTCATTTAAGTTGTTGTAAATTAAAAACTTCTCTCAAGGTGCTTCACCTTGATGCCGTCCTTCCTTCCTGATGCTCTAGGTACCCTATAGCTGTAGCCTTACATGTAAAAAATAAAGTTAGAATGATTTCTTCATCACAGAATTCCAGAATGGTTTGGCTTAGAAGGGGCCTTAGAGCTCATCCAGTGCCACCCCTGCCATGGGCAGGGACACCTTCCACTGTCCCAGGCTGCTCCCAGCCCTGTCCAGCCTGGCCTTGGGCACTGCCAGGGATCCAGGGGCAGCCACAGCTGCTCTGGGCACCCTGTGCCAGGGCCTGTCCACCCTCAAAGGGAACAATTTCTCCCTAACACCAAATCAAAACCTCCCCTTTCAATTTAAAACCATTGCCCCTTGTCCTAATTCCTTTAATTATAAATTATGTTTTTCTGCTGAGATTTTACCCAGTCCTTCCATCTCTGCAGGGAGTCTCCTGATCCCTCCCCTCCTGCTTATTTTTCACAGCCACAGTTTTCCCAGCTGGAACTTGTACTCATGGCCACCAGTTCCTGCTTCCTCTCTTATTAATCCAACTGCACAAGTGTCAGCTCCATCCCATCATTCTTGCTTGATGCCAAAATGACTTCACAGGGGCTGCATGACTGTGCTGTGCTGGTTTTTAAGGAATCATAAGGAAGAGGGAAAGCGTCTCTGCTTTCACATCCACACACATGCTCCAGACCACAAAGTAGCTCGGGGAGGCAAATAAAATTGAAGCAAGCCTGTTGGAGTAATTTCTTTACCATTTCACAAAATGAAATAGATGCTGTCTGAGGAACACCTCCTAAAGCCTGTCCAGGTTTGGGGTTCTGGGATATAAATTCTCCTGAATTTCATATAATCAAGAATCAGTTCCACATTTCTATCTTGAAAAGCTTATAAAATTTCATGCATTGATATCTCCCTTCCTTTAATGGTTCCTTTAATGAGCCATCTGAGTGATTTTATGCAAGTTTAGAGTCTGACACAGTTAATTCTTTTTTTCCACTCTGATTCCCAGAACTGCACTGTGAGCAATGCCTCACTGAGTGCCTGCAAACGGGGCTTCGCTCCAGGCCAGAGTCTCACCAGATGGCAAAACTCACTTCTTCCCTCCAACCTGGCATTAATCACACATGTGGCCAAAAGAATGGACAGCTGGGCTGCTGCCTTTGTTTTCCAAATGGCACTGGAGTGATGGGAGCAGAGCTCCCTGCCCTGGGCCATTCCAGGATGGAAAGGCAGGACACGTGTTTTGGGCTCTCAGAAATCAGCCTCACGTTGATGCACACGTTTAATTTCAAGGCTCCCAGTTGAAAATGTTGGATGCTATCACTGGCAGTTTAGCTACCAAAATCTATTTAACTTTTTACAAATCATTTGCATGAGTACGTGCTGGAACACCCTTCCAGGAAAGAGATGGATAAGCCTTGTGCAATCCTGTGTGCACAGCACATTTTCCTTGGTCTCCTCAAACTGCAGCCCTGCAGCTGAGCAGAAGCTGTTTTGACATCAAAGGGAGCATGACAGAAAGTCACAAAGATCAGGGAGGGGGAAAAAAAAATAAAAGCAGAGCTGCCAGACCAAAGGCAGAGCTGTTTGTGCAACATCCACAGCCAGAAATATGGAAAGAAAGGAGATTCCTTGCAGACATCCCAAACCTGACTGCAGGTGGCCCAGGGCCAGCAGCTGCAGGGGATCCTGGTGGACACCAGGGTCTCCAGAGACCCCTCCCAACTACCAGCACTGCCATTATTCCAGAGGAGCAATCCAAGCTGTGCTTCAGGGGGGGCTGACTTCTTCCATCCATCTCCAAGGCAGAGGAAAGCAAGCAGCAATTCCATGACTGCATTCCAGCTCACCTCTGCCCCCTTCCAGATCCCCTGTCCACTCTGCAGCCATTTCAAGCAGCATCATTCAAATAAAATGATTTTCCATGAACCTCTCTGGGGCTCCAGCCTTGCTCCAAGCCATGGATCAGCAGTGGGCTCAGCTGTCTCGCCGTGCTTTGGCCCATCCATGCCTTGCCCTAAACCCCAAATGAGTTATCCCACAGCTCTCTGCTGGCAGAAGGGCTGCTTGGAAAGCCTGGCTGCACACAGTGCCAGAAAAAGTGCAATTCACACCCTCCTAAAAGGGGAATAAGCACCAAATTCAGTTCCTGTCCTGCTTCCAGCTGTGAGCCCAGGCTGGGGAAGTCTTCTAAGGAATGCTTATGATTCAGGAGAATGATAGCTATTATGTTGCTGGGAAAATGAAAGATGGGCTAACAAATAATCTGGGTGTTTTTAAATGGGTCATTAAAATGCAGGTTTATGATCTTTTTTAGAAGAAGAAGCAACAGCACAGAAAACAGGCTGTCAAGCTCTGGCTGTTTGGTACCAGCCATTTTTTCCACTCTGAAATTTTAAACAGCCCTTCTAAAATCATAATAATGTTTGCTGTATTGTTAGCAGCAAATGATTACACATTCTAACCTTTTCCTAGTCCCCATCCCAGTGTAATTTTTACATTTGTTAGTTTGTAACCAGCAACCTTGTGAAAGTTTCACTTTTGGGAGGGCACACCCCATTTATGGTTCACTTAAATCTGATCCCCGCCCAAAGAAGGTTCCCTTACCCCAGACAAACACTCCCAGCTCAGTGGCTGCACAAGCTCATTAATAGCACATAATTAAACAACAATCACACTGATTTACCAACTGCACACAGACCTAAATTCTGGAAAAATGTATATTCCATGACAGGATAAATGCTAATTTCCTGTAGGCACTGAGTAAATTTGATTTGCTGGGCTATTACCTCCTCTGGGATGCTGCAGAAAGGGCTCAGAGCAGCAGCAGCACACACAGACTTGGTATTTTAAATGAAAGAAAACTTTTAAATGAAAGAAAATCCTATCAGGATCTTTTAAGTCTTAAGGTAATGATGATCTAAACCAAAAAGTACAGATGATTTTCCCCCCAAATGAGAAGGGCTGCTGACACACACAAGAAGAAATGTGACACGTTTGTTTCCCTCTGTAATTCCACTGCCCCACAACCTATTAATGCCTGAATATTCCCACAACAGCAGCAGTTGGAATAGCTGACTTCCAAAATGTTTAATTCTGCAGCTGCCTAAATGAATCAGCTTCAACTTTGTAGCAGACAAAGAGTTTCCACTTAGCCTAAAAATCTTAATGAGTTTGCCATCCTTTTTTTCTATTCTCAGTCTGTTAAAAAATAAAAAGCCCTCTTAAAAAAACCCAAAAACCAAAGCACTTGTGACAGATCCTGGCAGCAGAGTGGGACTTGGTTTAAAATATATTTTTGGGATTTTTTTGCCTTTTTTTTTTAATCAGTGTGTCAGATCTAAGAACATACCTGAGACAGACCAGCTCAGAAAAGGAAACCTGATGAGAAGAAGGATATGGATTGGTCTGATCAATAAACCACATTATTACCAAGTTCTCCAGGAAACACCAGGTCTGAGGTTTATTCAAGCTACTCCTCTGGACTGTGGTTATCTGAAATACAATAAAGTCTCTGGACAGACTTTAATGCTTAGTCTGTGACCTCAGTGGTGTCCCAGTGCTCTTCCTCTTTCCCTCCAGCATTCCCAGGAGCTCCAAAGGTGTTTGCCACTGCTTGGCTTTCCAATCAGAAATGCAGCATCCAGCCCTTATTTCTAGACAAAATCTATGATTTTTGAGCAAAGCTGAACCAAAACAAGGGTTGAGCAGTTCCTATCACCAGTCTCACAGCTGCTGTGTCTTTGCCATGTGGATCAGAGACCTCCACAGAAAATAACTCTGCAATAATTTTTTTACACTAATTTTTGAAGTCCTTTGTAGAGGAAGAAAAATAAGGTAACTTCAGAAGATGAGGATGAACAAGAAACAGTGGTGTCCCTGGGAACCACAGCCTGTGGCACACTCATGAGGTCACCTTGCCTCTGCACACAGCAGAATGGTCCTTCTGAAGGTATCACCATGAAACCACTGCTTCCTCATTCTTCTGGCTACATGTCAGCATTTCTTCTCCCTGTATCTAAAACTGTGGAAGTAGAAAACCTGAAATCCCTCTTTATCCATGGATTCTGCAAGCTAAGCACCTCATTACAGGGAGGAATTGAAATTTGGGTACAGTTTTAACCTATCAGCCTGGGCTTGTCTGACATCTTCCCAACTCCCAAAGACATGGCATGAGTTGTGCTCCCTCAGGCTTTCAGCACCTGAACATCCCACAGGTTTTAATACCTTTATCAAGAGAAGCTCCAGCCATGTGGTAGAAGCTCAAAGCCGTGTCCACGTCATTTATGTTCTTCAGAAAAGTGAAGAAGTTCTCCACCTCCTCAAAAGTCAGCCCCTAGGACAGAGAAAAGACCCTCATGTGGTGATGGGAAAAGGAGATCATGAGCACTCCTGGCAATGACACAGTGACTCATTGGCCTGAAGCTGTAGCCTGAAGGGAATTCATCTGCACACTCCAAAAAATCAGCCTTGGCACTTGAGGATGTGGGTTGTGATCTGTACTTTTGTTCCCTTCCTGACCCCACCAGTCCCACAACGGGAAGGGACTGAAAACCATTTTCTAGGCGAGCAGACCTCAGATGCAGGAGGCCACTGCAAACAGGTGAATTGATAAATTCTTTGGAAGCCTGAACCCTTGCAATGACAATATCAAACAGTCCATGTTGGAAGCCTGGTTACCGAGAATTTCAGACTTTCTGTGCTGACAGGCACTGACCCCCAAGAGAACACTGCATTTACCCTGAGGCCATAGAAAAAGCTTCAAAAGTTAAATGCTAAAACTAAGACTATAGGTGTGTAGTTTGAATAAAAGTGTGTAATATCACATAGTAAAAAACTTAGAGTTTAAGATTTTAAAATATGGTAATATATATAAAGCAAGATAAAAATTTTAGAGCAGAAGCTAGTCCTTCTTCACCTTCTTCATGAGTTTAAGCAATATTGTGTAATTAGATTAAAAAGTCTACATTGCAAGTCACAAGTAGTTAGTTATCAAATTAAAAGCAAAAATAATTTAAGTGTAATTTCTTTATTAAACAGCTTATCTTTAAAAGACCTTGTAAAGAGAGATAGAGCTACATTTTTAGTTTGTTAGAGTGAAGTGCTGTAGAACTCAGGGTTTGTGAGACTGTAATACAGATAAGAACTAATACACATCTGAGTCCAAAGAATAAATACCATCTACACATTTCATCCCAACCCTGGCAAAAAAAAAAAAACAACAAAAAAACCCCCCCAAAAAAACCCAACAACTCAACAAGCCTGTGCACTGTGAGGTCTCTCCCAGGAGATTCAGGGATCCCAGGGGGAATCCATGTCTTACCCAGTGTGGCAGAAGGTGACACTAAAGCACAGAAGTGTCCCAGTTTGCTTTGCTGCTGGAGGCAGGATCTCTGTCTGCTCCATCTACCTGGGCCAAGTGAGCATGTGCTCAGGTGAGAACCACGTTCTGGGATAGTCATGGAAAAACAACCTGAGATACTGAGGAGAAGAACTGCTGATGAACACAACTCTGGGAACCCCACCTGGTTACACTACACCTGATTTTATCACCCTGTGCAGCTCCAGCACAACTACAGCAGGGCTGGTGATGCCTTTTGAAGGCTGGCCTAGAACAGAGGCTTGGGCAGAGTTAAAGAATAAAGCAGGGATTTATTAAAAGGCCTCAGTGGATCAACCTTGCGCAGCACAAGAGCTCAGCCAGGGCTGCACCCAAGATGAACCAAAATGGTCACAAAATGGACACCTGCTCACAGGGTCTCTCACTTTGATCAGTTTTGCTCCATTTGTACATTTGAATTCATTGTCCAATTCCAGCTTTAGCCCATGCAGTCCCATCCTGCTTGTTTTTCTCTCTTCAGTCCATGTCATTTATGCTATTGGGCCTGAGATTTGGGTGCTTGTATTTGGGTCCCCGGCTAGAGAAGGAATTGTTTTGTCTCCCTGCTCTGTGAAGAGAGCTTACCAACAATTAATAGGAAGCTCAGACCTACACACTAAAGCAGCAGAGAATCTGAAAAATATAAAAGCTAAAACTTGAAGCATCACTGGGACAAGAGCTGGAGCCTCCAGCTCCTGCAGCAGAGCCACGGCATGGAGCCAAGGGAGGAGGTGAATCATCACCACAGTAATAACCACTCAGACTCCCTCTCTGGGAGACATAAATCATCTTGTCAAGAGGAGTTCAGGCTCCTCCTATCCTGCCTGGCACAACAGATTGATAGAGCAAGATATTAAAAATCCAAGATGCAGAACACAGCAGAGCTCCACAACTTGGATGTGTTCAGCAGGTACTGTCAAATATAAATTTACACAATCTGCTGTAACTCTGCTCAAACAACTTCTAAAATCAGGGAAGAAGCCACCAGTCTTTTGAAAGAAAAAGAACATTTTAAAAGTCTTTCCATACAGACATTTGCAGCTTGTTCCTATCTTGGCTGTGAGTACGTGGCCCTGCTCTAATGATCTACGTGTGCACTGACACATGCAACAGCAGCTTTGTCAGCCCTGGACTCATGGATCTGGGCCAAAAAGGATGGGATGGCAAAATGGGAGAGCACATGTAGACAACAGAGCTGACTGAAGGGAGAAATCCCTGGTGACACTGCAGGAAGCTTTCCTTGAATGTCTGCCTGCTCCTCTTCCCGAGAGGAGCACTAGGATGTACAGCAGAATTAAATTAAATACTGTCCTAGGGAAAAAAATAATCCAGTAAATCAAGTACCTCTACAGGAAGCACTGCAAAGATCCCTCTGTTTTGTACAATGGTTCTACAAGAGAAAATACCTTTGCAATTATCATGATGCCTCCCTGCCTGGGAGTAGGGCACTGGGAGAGTGGAAAGCCTGGAGGAATCATGAGGTGTGTGGCCACTTCCAGGCCAGCAGAAGACTTTGTGCTGAGATCTGCCTGCTCTATCTGGGACATCTGGGGTTTGTAGGGTTCTAAGCAAAGAGCCATAAGGTTTGTATTTTCCTGGAATTCCCAAAATGGCAGATGCTGAGGCCCAGGAGCACTGTTGTCTGTGCATCATGGACCCTTGTTTGGTATCCTGGAATGGTTTGGGTGGGAAGGGACCTCAAAGTCCATCTCATTCCATGGTGTCCCATGGGCAGTGACACCTTCCATTATCCCAGGATGCTCCCAGCCCCACCCAACCTGGCCTTTGTGGTCCTTTCACCAGCTGAAAAAACAAAACCAGTGCACACATGTATCCTACAAATCATGGCTTTCAGGTGGACAAGACCATTGAATGTCTGTAGCAAGAATACCATCAGTGTTAGGAAATTTATTTTTTGTTTTTGAGGAATCCCATAGGTGAGGCTGGTGTCAGTGTTAACTCTGTTCCAGCTTCCAAAATAAAATAAAAATCAGGGACTGGAACAGCATGAGGCAAATCAACAGATGAATGATCACATCTTTCAAGACATTTGTAGCTCCAGCTTTTAATTCATGATCAGCTGAATTCCTTCATCACCCACGTAATCCTCACAAAACATAAGCAGGGAGACTCCAGAAGCACTTACCTGCTTGTAACACAACAGCTCAAACATCTGCAAAAATTAGGGCTTTTCACCTGGGAACCCAGGTTCAGCAAGGAATTCCACCTCACTGCCACCCCCTGCTATCTCCACAGAAAAATAACCCAGCCAGCCCCTGAAGCACACGTGGGAGATGACATGAATCACTGGCTTCTGAAGAGACAGCTTGGTTTTCCAGCAGTTCGGGAGGCACTAATACATTGGTTCTGAATGTTGCTGATGACTCAGGTCTTTTTTACCAGGAGAAAAGCAGCTGTGTAAGTACAACTTGGGGAGGACATTCATAAGAAATGTTAGACAAAACAGAGTGTGGCAGCTCTGCTGAATAGACAAAGTTCACCTACCCAGGGTTAAGATAGGATTTTTCCTCAAGAAAAATAAAATAATGAAAGCAGATTAGCAGTTAATAGAAGAAAGCTTATCATTCTCAAAAGCAGGAATGCAGAATAACAGCCTTGGAAACAGCTACAGATTAGATTAAACTCAGTTTTGTTGTTTTGGAGGCTGCCAGGGTTGCCTTGTGCAGTCAAGGTAATTTCATCAGACAAAGAGGACAAAGTTTGGCAGATTCCATAAGAAAGCTCTCTCAAAAGAACTGCAATTCCAAGGAAAAGCCTTGCTGGGTGAGTCTGGGACAGTGTCTGGGCATTTCATCCTCAGCAGTGCAAGGAATCATGAATTTTTCACAAATACTTTTCCTTACAAATAAAATTTTTGTCCTATTGCCCATTTTCTCTCCTTGAAAGTCCTTGGAATAAAGGAAGATAAAGATTTGCTTTGAGTCTGGCTGTCTGTAAATAGAAAGACAATCTGGCTGATTTGGGGATGAGGAATAAGGTGAGAACAAGAAGTTCTTCCTCTGGCACAGATGTCAGGGTCTTGGCTTACACATGAAAGGAAGAAAACATCTGCTGTAGGAAACCTTCCAAAAGAAATTCCTTTGTCTCTTTTCTCACACAGCCAGCTACTGTTCAGTAATATCTATACATATATACATACATACATACATACATATATATATATATATATATATATATATATATACACAAAAATCACAGCAAAAGAATCAACAATTTGCAAACTTCTAAACCAGAGCTGATATTTTTCTATTAGACACACATTGCATTTAAGCACTTTTTCCTGGAGAAATCAAGTTATTCCTGTTAATGTAGGAATCCCATTAAGGAACAAAAAAAGTTGCAGACTCTGGTCAGAACTTGTGTTTTATAACACATTTGGCACCTAAACCAGTTATGAAATAAACTCTGGTTCTGATGTCAGAAGAAAGCAACTCCAAAACAGCCAGCCAAAGACTTTCCATCCCTTCTCACTTTGATGAATTGCTTGTTTATATCCCAGTTAATAAAAGAACATTCTGGCTTAATAAAAGAACATTTATTACAGGGGCAGATGTAAAATTCTAATGCTCGATAATTTCTCAGCCCATACTTGCCTTACCTGATAAAGCACATCTTACGATATGGATATCTTATTCCAAGGACTATCACTGAATTAATGAGTGTAGGGTCTGCAAACATAGTCCTCTCTAAATTGTGAGTAATTTTTCCCAGAAGTTAATAACTGAATAATAAACTGCCTGGTCACAGCAGCTAACGAATCCAAGGTCGAGCCAGGAATTGGGAGCATGGCTTCAGTGTTTGTTCTATGGCTCCAGACCCAGGGTGCTATTCAGCAAATTGAATTTTTAAAATTACAGCATCTATTTTCATAAGGAATAAACCTACAGCCTGCACTGGACACCAACCACTGCACTCCCAGCTCTTCCCTCTCTCTCCACCACAGCTCAACAGGGAGTGAATGCTTTTCCGAAGAAGATAGGCATTGCTTAACTCATTTTTCAGCCCAGCCTGGGGCTGAGAAATTTTCCCAAATTTTCCATGAATGCCACTGACCTCTCCATCCTGGAAGTGCTTCTTGAGCTGTTTGAGCATGACAGTGAGCTTCTTGGACTGCACCCCGCTGTATGCCAGCAGCATGCTCCCGAACTGCCGCTCCGTGATCCGCCCATCCACCGGGTCATGCCGCTCGAACTGCGAGGGAAGAGGGAACAGGGAGATGAAAACCAGGAGCACCACAAAGCTCCACCTGAGGCATGAAGCATAAAAAGGGCACCATAAAGAATTAAGATTGCAGGAAAAGCTGGTGAAGGAGAAGTGCTGATGGGTTCTAGGATCTGCTTTCCACAGGATTGTCTCTCCACATTTGCCCTATGTGCAATTCCTTGGACAGCTCTTGGGAGAAGCCTTTGTTGGAGTCCTGGATGCTGAGAATTTCAGGCTTTCTGTACTAACAGACTGTAACCCCCAAGAGAACACTGCATTTCACAGAATTCACAGAATGACTAGGTTGCAAGAGACCTCCAAGATCATCGAGTCCAACCCAACCCCAACACCTCAACTAAACCCTGGCCCCCAGTGCCACATCCAGTCTGTTTTTAACACATCCAGGGATGGTCACTCCACCACCTCCCTGGGCAGCCATTCCAAAACTTCATCACCCTTTCTGTAAAAAACTTTCTCCTGATACCCAACCTATATTCCCTTGGTGCAGCTTAACACCGTGTCCTCTGGTTCTCCCAGTGCTGCCTGGAGAAAGAGACCAACCCCAGCTGAGCACAGCCTCCTTTCAGGTGAATTTTCATTTGACCTGAGGCTGTAGAGAAGGCTTCCAAAATTGAATGATAGCACTAAGATTATGAGTGTAGTTTAATTAGAAGTGTGTAATATCACAGAGTAGAAAACTTAAGAGTTTAAAATTTTAAAATATAACAATATATATGAAACAAAATAAAAGTTTTAAGATGGTAGCTAAATGTTTTTCTTCACCTTCTTCTTCATAAATTTAAGTAGCAGTGTATAATTAAACAAGTCCGCATTGCAGACTTCAAGTAATTAGTTATTAAATTAAAAGTAAAAATAATTCAAGTATAATTTCTTAATTAAATAGTTTAACATTAAAAAGCCTTATATAAAAATAATTAAATATTTTATAACTTATTAATAAAATACTATAAAACTCACAACTTACAATATAAATAAAAGTAAGCATCTAAATCTAAATACAAAATACCATCTCAAGCACTTCAATCCCAACCTTAACAAAAGTTTAAGAAACAAAAACCACACCATTTAATGGTGCACCAGTGTGAGGACACCTGTTGAAATTGGGACCTTCCTGAAGAAACAGAGATAACGTGCAGCTGTGAGCTGGAAGGGAGAAATCCCCGGGGAAAAGAAAGAAGAATAAAGGAAGAAAACAGAACTCAGAAATCCCTCCCAGCTTTATCACACAGGACTGGGCTAATGAGTGGCTCCATGGCTGCTCTAAACAGGGACAGTGATTAATAAACCAAAGAGAAGTCTTGCAAAAGTCTTTAATTTTACTCCTCTCTGCCCCAAGGCCTGTACCAGTGTCTCAGCAAAGGAAAGTTCATGGATGTCTCCAGACTTCACCTTCCCAAAGTTCTCCTCATCCTCAGACCCTTCCGGTCCCTGACTCCCACAAATGCTGCTGTGAGGCCCCTGTAGAACTTCCAAAAAGCCCTTGGGCAGAGAAGGGTTTTCTCCAGTAATCCACCTCTCCTGCAGAAGTTTGTCTCCCGGCTTCCACTGCAGGGAAGGAGGGAAGAGCCATTCCCCAGCTTGGGAAGGTGCTGGGTAGGAGCACCAGCTCTTTGCCCTCTGAGTAATGGGGATTTCATCCTTTCCTTTTCCCCCTCCTCTGTGAATCTACAAGCATCAACATTAAACTTCACCCAGCTTCACAGATCCCAGCACTTGGGATAGATTATATCCCTTCAAATTTACCAGGAAACACAAGACCAATACTCCAGCTGGTCACAAGCCAGAAGATGACATTAAACAACAAAAATAATTTTTAAACTCATGGGGAACAACTTGGTACCAATGATTGACATTTTGCTGCCTGCTGAGTTGACCATTCCAGACTCAGCTGCTCTTTGGTGCTAATGAATTTTTAATTATTACCATATCAACTAGATTTTGGCTGCTTTTCCCAGTGGGAAACCAAGGGACTCCTGAAAAGTGGAGCACCAAGGCTGGAGGGATTTGTATGGGTGACTCTGTCAGGAGGCAGATCCCAAATGGAGAAATTCTGCTCCTCGGCCCCCTTGTGCTTTCACCTGAGTGGCCCACACACAGTTTTGGGGGAAAAAATGGTTATTTTTACTGTCATCTGATACAGGCTTTGGGAATCACTCATGATGCAAAACGTGGGCCTCTCCCATTCTCCTGTGCTTGGGAAAGGAGAGGGAAAACTCATTTGTTGGAATCGTTCTTCATTAAAAAGCAAAAGTAGTCATTTCTGTCATGCCTAAAGAATGCAAAGAAAATGCCCTTGGGACACAAAAATTTGCTATCAGTGCTGCTTCAAAAGCTGCACTGATGCTTTCTTCTGCTGTAATATTCCTAATTTCATCCCCAAAGACATAAATCAGCATATTTCTACCAACAACCTTAAAATATCCCAAGTTTTAGCAGAGCTTTAGGTAGCATCTTTAATTAAAGGCTAGGAAATGGGTCCAAATATCTCAGATCAACCTCCTGAGAGGTGCCTATGCTTAGAAAATCTCAAGCTGGTGTCTGAAAGCCCATCAGTCCCCTCTCCCCCTGCCCTGCATTAAGGATCAAGCATTGGGCAGCTCCATGGAGTAACACAAGCAAGCACAGCGCCCTGCAGATGGGGAAATAAAGAACCAACTCCTTGCAGTTTTTTTTTTAACTAAACCTTCAGATTGTGATCTGTTTTGTATTACCAGATGCAGAAAAGACCAGAAAGGAAAAATTTAAATACTTTTCATTTTTCTACTGATACACCACAAAAGTATTCACAAGAAATAAAAAGCCTGAAAACTATGGAATTTAATTTAAAAAGTCTGGAAACTATGGAATTTGTGCTGCTTATTATTTATCTCACTTTGAAATGAATATTTCTAACAACAAACCAGAACACTCAGATGCCCACTGTCACATACAGTGGTGCTCATTGCAAAGGTCAGCCCAGAAAGGGGCTGGGAAGTGAGAGCTGGTCCACATCCAGTTCCCAAATTCCAACAGAACCACCACTGAACTGAGCAAAAGCAACAGCATCACAGTGAGGGATAAAGGAAGTTCAACTCTTTGACTCCAAGCTGTTGTCAGATGCACTTAAATTAATTACAGAAGGGATAAGCATGCCATGTCATTTTAAGAGAAATTTCAGGGAGGGAATTCTGGTTTTTTTTTTCTGCTGTGTCAGAGATTGTGTTGATCCATAAAGAAACTGGGCTTCAAAGGATTTGAGTGGAAACCCATTGATTCCTGATGAAAGAAAACCCCCAGCTACCCCTGACACCCCCTTTCCTGGGAGCAGAGGTACATCCATGTTTCTCTACCCTCCGGAATATCTTCTAGCCAAGCACAACTCACCACTTGGAAATGAAGGAGGGTGCAAAGCCTACAGGAATTTGTCTTTCAGTACTCAATACACAGTCTACAAACAGTGTTAAGTGTAAAAATTCTTTTGGTATTTGAAAAAGCAGGAAAAACAGTGTCCATTCCCAGGTAATTACAATTATCTGCCTCCATGCACAGGATGACACTCTACAGGTTATTTTTCTGTTCACTGGGGGGAAATAACCCCACACCCTACAAGGAGGGGATGCAGGGCACAGCACTCTGGGGTTTATTACAGCAAATGAGTCCTCTGACAGCCTTGTGCCCTTTCATGGATCTTAAAGAAGGAAAAGCAGGGCCAAAGCAGTGCTCACCCAGCATTATCCAGAGGAGGGTGGAGCAGCTCGTGCTCCCACCATCCCACCAGGACAAACAGAGGATGGGTGGGGGGGGGTCCTACCCCATCCCAAAATCACACACACAATGGGCCAGCGAGTCCAACACCTCCGGAGCAGCTTCCACTGGCAGCCACTTGGTGCCAGCAGTGGATTCTGCATCTGCACGAGGCAAGGAGAAAAGAGGAGAGAATGCTGGTCAGTGTTCTTCCTGCAGGCCAGGACACCTGAGGTGCTGAAGAAATTAGCTTGAAATATAAAAAGGCTGTGTTTTAAAATTCATTCAAAGCCAAGTGATGTGAAAGGAATTCCAAGGCATTTACGGAACAGTTCTGCAGGAACTGTAGTGACAGGACAGAAGGGAATGGCTTCAAACTAAAAGAAGGGAGGTTTAGATTGGGTATAAAGAAGGAATTGTTCCCTGTGAGGGTGGGCAGGCCCTGGCACAGGGTGCCAGGAGAAGCTGTGGCTGCCCCTGGATCCCTGGAAGTGTCCAAAGGCAGGTTGGACAGAGCTTGGAGCAGTCTTGGACAGTGAAAAGTGTCCCTGCCTATGGCAGGGGGTGGAATGAGATGAGCTTTAAGATCTCTTCCAACCCAGGCTATTCTGAAATCCTATAGGAGGGGAAGAAGGCAGCAGAAATGGGGTGCAGCCTTTGACTTCACCAGCTTTGCTAGCCCAGTCCCAGTAGCCAGTCCAAATACACAGCAGGGTACTCCCTGATTTTTTTTTTTGTTATTTAAAAGCCTACCCTTAACTTTATACACACGTTAAAGAGTCCCAAACTCCCCCCCAAAACCTGAAGGATGAGCATATTCCTGCTCCTCTATAAGATGAAATTCCTAGATTTGTTCAAATAACCCCACTCTCCTTCCTTCTGAGAAAAAGGCTTTCTCACATGAGGAGAGCAGAGGACAAATAAGCAATTTCCCCAGCTTCTACAGCTCCTTAATTGCACAACTTTATGGAAAGGTAATACAAGGAGCCATCATAAAACAACAGACCCATCATATCTTTTCCTGCTTCATTGTTTTTTTCCTCCAATAACTCAATCCATCTTCCCCTGCAGGAAATCAAATCCCAGGCTCTGAGGAGCATCCAGCCCAAACCAATTCAGAGACACCAACACAAGAAACATCCTGGTGAAAAAAGAAAACCTGCTGGTAGTTCCTAAATGCAGACATTGGTTTCCTTCCATCTCTCCTTCTGGCAGCAAGGCTCACCAGTGGGAAATGAAGCAGC